GTATTTTTCCTCCTTCAAAGTAATGATCGGGTTCGATGTCTTCCCCGTCATCGCTGTCAAGTTCTGAGAGTTCGGACGACATCCTCTCAAATCGCTTGTCGTTGTCTTCGCTCGTGGGCGGCGTTAGAGCCGGTTTGGTAGTGGAGTCATCGGGCGTAACGAGCGGTGCCTCGACGGAAGGCACGACATCTGGGGGTGCCTCCATAGTGAACGTAGTTGTTACTCGAGTCGTAGTGGTCTCAGAGGGGCTGTGGAGCTGTTGCCATGCGTCGCTTCTCCGCCAGGGCGGGCGCGCGTTGATCTATTGGTATCGCAACAATTTTCCCGACAGCGCAGGAGGTCCACAAGGCTTGTAGTGTTGTCAATATGAGCTATTGCCGGCGTCGGGGGTAGTAGTCGCTAGATGACGCTGGGGGAGGTGCGAAGGCGAGGGTGAGGAGGTTGCAGGTCGTGGGTCTGCGCTAGGCGTTAAGCGCAACCACCCCTGTCACTCATCGGCTGATAATGGGCAGTTGCGACAACACCTGGACAGCATCTGCTAAAACGTCTCCAGCTGTAATAGGCTGCGCATGTTCTGAGCCCACAATAGTCATATCCTATGAGTCGTGCGCCTGTAGCTCAGGGTGCATTCATTCTGCGTTTGCTGCTACGCGCAAGACGCGCTAGGTGTTGTGCGCCGTAACTGGCATGCACGTCATCCAAGGCCACATCTACAGATCTCATCTTATCAGATCCTCCCCTTGCTTCCCACCTGTCCACCATGCGATCGCCGACACAACAAGTCGAGATGAATATAGTCACAAAACTCACTGAGCATACCACTAGCTTCTCGTTTTTCTGTCTTACTTCAAAAACTGGACAGTCTATCCCTTCGGCATGCAGTTCTGCAACACAGCCACAGGGGAAGAAAAGTCCAAAGTAGGTCGTATGTGAAACATAGTTCCTGAATCTGTGGGGCTAAGCTTTTTTGACTGGCGCTGTTCAAACGGCTGCAGAGACCCGCTAGTTCGTGCATCACGCCGCCATATGGGTGAATAGGGCCGCGCCTCACTAACAACGTGGGAAGTCGAGACAACTGGTATCGAGCGGGAGAAGGATTCCTATGATCATACGGCTTCTAGAGTCATATGAATCCACTGTTACAGTGCCGTACGTCACTGTCGATTGACGGTGGCGTGAAGTGCAACGTGTGGACAGCTCAGTGCGATAGTGAAGTCGGGGTATCTTCACAACCTTGGTGCGACTCGCCTCACAAGTCAAGGTGCTCAGATTGATACTAAGGCTGCTTTCGTAGAGTAGGACAACCTGCTAGATACAGATGTCAAGTTTGAAAGTCTTATCAGTACGAGTCATGGAAGCAAAGCAATAGCTCAGACAAACCGGGGAGAACCTAGCCATGGATGCTTCAGAAAGAGAAGTGCGTATGCTGAGGCATGACAATCCATGTCTTTCTTGGTATGGTCATGATACTGGGAAAGCGTGAGCGTTGCACCTCCACACCGACACTTCGTACTCCACTCGCCAATCGGAAAACATGACGAGCCAGCGCGTCCCCCCATGAAAATTCCCCGGATCGACACGCGGCTACTGCCAGGGGCAGCCGCTCAGTCATCGTCATCCCTTGTCTTGTCTGGGCTCTAGCACAACGTCCATCTCTCCACGACAGTGACGCAACACAGACCACGAAGACAATCACTCAAAGTGAGAAGAATTGATGTTGTACAAGCCATTCATTAAGCGCCAGATCATACCCAGAATATAGTACAGCGTCCCATACCCGAGAAAATGTTGATCCTATGCACCGATGCTATGCTACTAAACACAATAGGCTTGCCAGCTCTTTCATTATTTCATCTGCTCAGATGCTCCAGATAGAGTGTCAAAGATTGCTTACACAATCAGTGTTCCCCAAAAGTGCTGGTCGTTTTGCAGGAAGTGTTGATCGACTCTATGACGATTCTCCTCCACGGGGAGCGCCGCGGAAACCGCCGCGCCCACCCCTGAAGTCTCCACGGCCACCGCGTCCGCGACCACCGCGGAAATCGCCCCGAGGACCGCCTCGACCCCTGCCACGGTATCCACCTCGCTCACCACCTGGGTGTCCACCTCGTCCCCGGCCGCCGCGGTTGTGCTGAACTTGAGAGAAGCCATCGTCAGCGGGAGTGGGAGCGGCAGGTGCCGCGCTTGGCTCGGGGGTATCGTCGGCCCAGCTCTGGGTGCTGGTTACGGCAGCACCGGCGTGTGGTGTTTCAGTCTCAGCGGGGTCTCGTGGTACCATCTCGAAGGATTCGGTGAGCGGGTCATCACCGCCAGTGGGTTGCTTGTCCCATTGAGCCTCTGCAGCAGCGTTGGCAGACTCCATTCCGATACCGGAAGCTGCCGGTGCAGCTGAGGCGTCATTTGTGGTTTCGTTAAGAGGCTTCGCGCCGGCTTCCATCTCAGTGAGAGTAGCGTTGGCGATAGTTGGGTCGGACACAGCTTCAGTCTCTGGGGCAGCTGCTTGGGACTGCGCAACGTCGTCGACCCAAGCCTCTTCAGCGGCGAATGGAGCCTCGTCGAGTGCTGCTTGCTTGACTTGGGAGTCTAGAGAAAGTCAGTCTAAAGCGACGCACTCAATGTGCTTTGGAACTTACAGGTAACGGTTAGTACCACACCCTCAGTAGATGGTACTCCCTCTTCCGCACCCTCGATCAGCTTCTCTGCGGCCATGACAGCGCCGGCATCTCCTCCGTAGACCTGGAGGAGAGCGCCCTCGAAAGCCTTGGTGAGGTCAGAGTCATCGTCCTCAAGTTGACGACGAGCAGCCGCGGCCCTCAAGAAGCGGGACAGTGTCAGCAACTTGTCCTTGACAATCTTCTGCTGCTCGAGTTGTGCCTCGGCCTTGATGGTACCCCTCAATGTCTCCAGCTCCGACAAGTGTGACTTGGACAGGACCTCCTTCTCGCGCGCGAACTTGGCCTCGAGCTCATCACCGTACTTCTTGTAGTTGGTGTATTGTTCTTCGTACTGCGCAAGCTGAGCCTGAAGGCTGGGTTTCCTCTCGGCTTGGGCTTTTTGGTCGGCGTTGATCTTCTTGGAGGCGAGGAGGTCGTCGAGAGAAACGCCGGGGTTCGCTGCGATTATCGAGTCGACCTTCTGGGTTGCGCTCTGCAGACACGGTGTAAGCCAGGGTAGGTGGGGTAAAGGCTGGACGGGACTGTCATCTTACCAGCTTCTTGTTGATGTTACGGATGTTCCTACGCGAGCGCGTCTTAGTAAGTGAGTCCTTGATATGTTGTAGCAATCATGGTGTCTGAACCACAATGCGGCTGCGACTTACTTCTGGACCTCGCGGAGGTACGAGTTGTCGCTGTCGGATCCATTGGCCTTGCCGGCGGGGTTGGAGCCGCCTGCACCAGCCTCAGAGTTGGTCTGCTCAGGCGCTGCTGGTACTGCCGTAGCCCCTTCTTGCTTGGCCTTCTTCTTGCGAGCGCTCTTCGACTCCCCTGTGACCAGGTTCTGCAGCTTGTTGACTACTTCCGAGGCCATTGTTGTGATTTGTTTTGGTTGCGTTGGTGATTCGCGTGACTTCTACACGTAGGTCGCGTGTCTGAAAAGGGAGATGGATTTGGGTTCTTTCGTTGTGCTGTTTCAAAGTTGATGGTTTGGGCACTTGGTCGCCTGCCATCAACGTAACTGCGAAATTAGCGTGGGCACTAGCGTCTCGTGGGCATGACGCACGCCCTCTGCGTCTCAGCACCAACTACAAACATCAGTCAGTGTGATTAGGGAGAAAGATACACACTTGGCACGTCTGCTGCAAACCACAGTGATATTCTCTTCTTTGTACAGACCTTTAGGCATTCAGGTTTAGACAACTCTCCATCCAAGGATTCCGCATCTGTCCACTTTGACTGTGTCTCACTGCTTACACAAACTCACTCATGACTTACAAGAAGAACAACATCCATGCCCAAACAATATACTACAGCAAACTCAAGACCTGCTTAATATATGCTTTACCCACCCTGTTGTAAATTCAACCTGGACCTCGTCAACCGACACAGTCTACTACCATAACCATGTCATCACCAACACCACTTCCTACCAGAGTCCGGTTCCTCGCCGATATTGGCAGCTCCTATATCGATTTGAACGGGACTTGCGATATCTGTCACGGGGCCTTTGATAGAGGACATCACATAGCAGTACGCACAAAATGCCAACACATCTTCGGCCTATCCTGTCTCACTCGATGGACCTACACTAATGGAGAGCAATTAAACACCTGCCCCAATTGTCGTAGAGCTCTCTTCATAAAACCTCCAGATTTTCCCGTCTTCGCGGCGGGATATTATTCAGACAGCTCGTACTATTACTCACTAGACATGTGTACGAACCCAGTCTCATCGCGAACCATCGTCATCCACATCTGGCATCAGATGCGTCAGGTAAATCCCCAATTTATAATCTATAATGGCAACATCGAGGCTCAAATACACAGAGCCGGACAATATTTTGCAGATAATTTCGGACTCATTTTCCGCATCGATCCTACTCATCTAGTCAACCTGAGAGAAGTCGCCAAAGATATGATTAGAGAGCAGGCTGAAACACAAGATGTTTTCGAAGATGCGAGCATTGGTGGCATGCCATGTAGGTGGGTTAGAAACCTCGAGGGTGTATGGCTGCCGCGTGTGGCTGAGGTTTTTGGCTGGCAACTGGAGGAGGTTCGGATACATCAACAGTATACATTGCGGCTTTCTGATTCTGTATGGAAGTTCGCGATGTAGTGTGGGCTATCATTTTTTTTTTCCCTGAATGAGCTTAGCCCTTGACTGGTTCTTACTTTAGTGGAAGATTACAAACATGGTGGCAATATTGGTCTGTCAGGTCCGTGAGGATTGTAGTTACACCAAACAGATAGAAGTATGAATTTTCTTTGTGAGTACAATGCGCAGCAGAAGTCGTATGCTTTACAGCAAGTTTACACTTGCTGATATAACTCGCCACTTCTTCATTTACTCAAACTTCATCTTGTTAACGATACTCCCGATTCCCTCGACGTACACCTCCACCTCATCTCCATCTTTCAAGAAACCCTTCGGTTCCATGAACAGTCCCACTCCACTCGGTGTGCCCTGTAGAAGTGAAAACACAAAGTCAGTACATGTCTCACTTGCAATTCATACAGTTTCAACTTACCGTCAGAATGACAGTTCCAGCCCTCAACGTAGTCCCCCGACTCAAATGCTCCAACACCTCACCCACCTTGAAGATCATATCATCAGTGCCAGTTTCCTGCCTCTTCTCCCCATTGACTTTGGTCCAGTACTTCAGTTTCTGCGGATCGGGAATCAACTTTGGCGAAACAATACACGGTCCTACCGGCGCAAACTTATCAAAAGACTTTGCATATCCAAACTGGCCGCCGGATACAGAAGCGGGTAACTGGTAGTTCCGCGCAGAGACATCGTTGGAGATTGTGTAGCCGAGGAGGTAGTCGGCATAGTCTTTTGCTGCGATGTTTTTGCAGTCCTTGGAGACGACGAGGGTTAGTTCGCCTTCGTAGTCGAGTTGGGATTGGCAGGAGGGGTGGATGGGGATGTCTTCTAGGGGACCAGCGAGGGCGTCAGATGGTTTAGTGAAGATGGCTGGGTTGGAAGGGATCTGGAGATTGCATTCTTCCGCGTGGCGGCGGTAGTTGAGACCGACGCAGAGGATAATGTTTGTTGTTGGGAGAGGACATAGTAGCTATGTTGTTTTCCCGTCAGATTTTCCCAAGAGCTCTAATTTTCTCCTCAATGGACATGCGAATACATACCTTTCCGACAGTGGTCTTCTGACCTGTCTTCTTAAACCCACTCTTGACATCTCCTTCCAGAACTTCTACACTGCTCCCCTCAATCTCCTTTGTCGGAACTTCCTTTTCCAAATTTCCATACACTGTCTTCCCATCTTTATCCTCGAAACGGATCAATCGCTCAAATGCCGACATCGCTCTTGTCGTTGTACTGAGATAGTTCACTCGGAATGGCAATAACAACGACTGTGACCTTGGAACGAAAGAAGTCAATCTAGATGATGTAGCAGTAGTACGTGTGCAGCGTACAAGAGAGCTAGCGAACATAGAGTCAGGGATAAGGAAAAAGCTTATGAAGCAGTCAAGAGTGTTGATGCAAGAGGCGCGTTGTGGAGTTCGGGCGATTTGCCCCACGTTCGCGTCGCGGGGTCGACGTTCGGCATTGGGATGTGGAGATGTCCGTTTCCCGAAGTGCAATCGACGGGATCTTTTTGTGTGAAGATTGTCGAAACGAGAGCATGAACGCGTTGTACCCGACAATGGATTGTTACGAGATTGATGAAATGTCCAACATCTCGGATCTGCAATACAAAAGACATAAGGAAAGGATAATCTTGACAGCGTCGTCTTTTCTGTACAATATGCGCTTTGTTCGTAGCGCACCGGGTATCCGCTCTACGTTCCATCTTTCATTACTAGACATCTAGACATCTATACCTTCTGTGCCAGACCCGTGTTCCCCAAAGAAGACGGAGTATCTCTCACCCTGTCATCTCGACATCCCCATTTCCGTTACTCGCCTGCACAACAGCCCCCGGATCCAACCTCCCCAAACACCCAGGACAATTATGCAGGACCATATGCGCAAACATATCACAATCGATACAAAAGTGACTTTCACAAGCCCTGCATTCATACCTCCCGCTCTCAGACGCCTTCTGCTCTTCGCTATCCTCTTCGTCCCTCTTCTCTTTGTTGACCTCGCCGTCTTGTTCCGCCTCACTTCTTTCATTATTGCTGCTTGGCGGATCACTAAAGGAAGCTAGACAGCCCACACACTGCTTACTTCCCTTTTCGCGGGCGCGCGACCAGGATACTGTGGACCAGTTGCGGAGGGGGAAAAGATGGTGGTAAGATCGCGCGAGATGGGTGGAGAGGAGCAAGGTGAGTTGGCAGGAGGGGCAGGTGATAGGTAAGGAGCAGACTTTTGCGCTGCAGCGAGAACAGGTGTAACCTCCCATTGTGAGGTTGCCGTGGCATGCGCACATGGTTAGTTGGTCTTCTACTACACGGGATGGGAAACCCATCATCATGAGTGCTGCGGCGGAGGAAGGATCTGGGGCTTGCGGAGCGGCTGGTGCTGCGACTGCCGGTGCTGTTGTACGGATTACGGGGGGTGTTGTAGTGGCGAGGAGGAGCTCCTTGAGCATTTCCTGATCGGTTGCGATTGTGTACTCGGATTCATCACCAGCGTTTGTCCGAGTGACAATTTCTGTGCAGATCTTGAGGCGCGCGCCCATACCAATTACGCTGACACGTATTCGGTCTCGTACGCAGGCTTTGACTGTTTGGTGTATATCACCCGGATCTAAACTCAACAAGCTCCCAAAGACAACAATGACCTCTCGCGTGCCGTGGCTTGGTGTGTGGTATAATGTTGCTCTTGCCAGTTCCAATGCGTTCTGCAAACTGGGCGCGCCCTTGGGCTCTTTGCCGTCATCTTTGCTTCTCAGGCCTTGTATCGCTGCAACGTGTTCTGCTGGGTTGCCCGAGAGCTCCGAGACTCGTATGCAGACACCATCGTGCATACCCAGTACGCTCATCTGCGATATAGGGTTTTGTTCGAAAAACTCGCGGATGTAGTCTTGTGTGTAGTTGATCATCGTGATGTATCGGTTGGGCCGCATGTCTTTTTCCATCATGGCCTCTGACAGATCAAGCACCAGGACGACGTGACGTATGATACCTCGCTGGAAAGGCTTTGTATCTTTCCGTAACCTTTTGCGCTTCCTCTCTTCTTCCCGTTCTTGTACGCTCTGTCCTAGTGTGCCATCGTCTGCCGGTTCTATCGTCTTCTGGACCGTCCGCGAGTATTCTGTTTCCCATGCCTGCCGCTTTGGCGGTTCCTTCACAGGCGCCTCTACTTTCCGCCTCTTGCCAGGCGCCGAAGATTGTGCGCGTGTGCTTGAAGTACCGCTCTTCGCACCAACGTACTCGTCGGCTGAACTCTCGTCATCGAAATCGTAATCCGAATCGGCCATTGTATGCGCGTGGGTCTGCAGGTCCGGCGGTCGTTGGATGGCGAGCGATCGCAGCTGTGACCGTCGTGCTGGGATGCGAGGCTGTACGTGTGGACTTCAAATGGACGATGCGCACGATTCGGTCTCGGGCGTGTCCGTCAAAGCAGGGTCGTGTGCCGCAAGAAAGACCGATGTTATGATGTAATAAGCTTCATATGTGACGTTGGATGGTGGCAGATACAACGGAAGATGTCAGTCCAAGCTTCCTCATCGTCAGCTACAGTTTCACTAAATTGTGGCAGGCACCGAGTGTTTGGATGGTGGTGAGTTCACTTGACGATCTTGGATCCACATGGGCGGAAGCGTGTCTCACACGTGATAGGCTCGACGCGCTCTCACGTTTTCATGTTCATGTTTTGCATGTGAAGACAGGTCTTGAATATCAGATAGATTCCATTCAGCAAACATTATATATATCGTAGCACAAGTCAGCATGACGCATCAAATGCGTCCAAGGAGCCCCAAAATGGTATACGCTATGTCGGGCAAAAGCCATCATAAGAACATTACGCCGCCGCTGCCTGTACAGCCCCGAGATTACCAGTCAACCCCTGATGGTCGACTCTTAATTATACGCGCCTGAACCAGCGACGGTTGGCATAGGCCAGTCGTCTTCGGTGATGCTCGACCAGAACACCCAAATCATTACTACTGATAGGAGGGTGAAGAGGGTTGAGAAGAGACCTCCGTTGATCTTGCCGTCGGTGCCGTTGCAGATGTGGACGCTGATGACATATTGGAAGATTTGGCCAATGGCGAAGAGGAGAGCAGCGGCAAGCAGATATACTGGGACGAGTTAGTACGAGCTGTATACAAGATTTGATAATTCCTTACGCATTGGCTTGCGCTCGCCGAGAATGCGCAGCACCAGGAAGGCCTCCAGACAGAAGAAGATGACGATGAAGACTAGTGGTACGAGTTGGTAGAGGGTGTACAGCGCGTAGGCTTGGTTTGGTACAAAGCGAGTGTCCTCCCAGTAACCCGTCCAGTTGAGTCCAGTATCGAGGGCGATATAACCGGTTCCGATGAAGATGACAAGTGACGAGATTAAGAGGAGACCGATGGATACTGCCGTGCCGTCGTCAAGTAGTTGGTAGCCAACGGCGCCGTTGAGCATGAGGATCCAGGACGTGGCGGTGATGGCAGCGATGTGGATAGCGACAAAGACCTGTAGTGAGATTAGACTCTGCATTCCGACATGCAGGACTGAGTACATACAATGCGCACAGTGCTGTTGAGGGGGAATCCGCCAATAGTAAAGATTTCGCAGATGGATATGACGATGTAGCCGAGGAGGAAGAGCTGCATTTCTCTGCGAGCTGTTAGCCGTGCAATCTCAATGCGCGTGGATGACTGCGCACCTTCGTCCTACAGCAGCCTTCTTTCTTTGCGATCTCCATAGCAGGAACAGGGTGGTGAGGATTGCAATGCCGCAGATGATTATGGATCCTGGTGGTGTGAGCAAAACATCGTCACAATGCGCATATGCTTCGTACCCAAATTGTGCAGCCGGTCACCTCCACCCACAGGGAAGCCTTGCAGGGTGCAGCCATCTTGCCATCCGTTGTTGTCTATTGTCGAAGCTGGGTTGAAGAGCTGTGGAGCATGGGTTAGCGTCGCGTCGACGAACAATGGGCGGGCAAAGGGGTGCAGCGATCGCAACATACATAACAAACTGTCGCGCGTTAGTATAGACAACAAGATAGGTATCGTGAGTTTGTTTTACCCGGCAGAGTTGACCAGCTGTTTCCAGAGTCCCGACAAAAGTCATCGAACTTGCCGTATCTTGACATGTCTTTTTCGTTTCGGGCAGCGGAGCCTCAGCCTTGCCTTCAGGTGCCCTTTGTTGTGGGGAGCGATCGTTATCAGGCTGTGAGCGCTGCGATAGATAGCGAGGGAGATTGGCGCAACCACGATAGGAAGTGGAGGTGAAAGCGAATCGAGAGGTGATTGCGGCGGAGAGAGATGATGCGCTGCAGCGTATGTGGTTGTGGCTGGGGGAGCTTCCTTGAAACAATGCACGAAGCCAAGCCTTCCAGCTTTCGATGTCTGGTTACCAGGGCGTGCGGGCGGGTGATTGTGTGGCTGCACAATCTCACTGGTCCCAAATCGTCTCTCTCCGCTAAGCCAACCCCCTGCGATGGATGGCCTGAATTGGGTTTTGCGACAGCGATTATAGTGAGGGATGCCCGGTGACAGTTCTAGAAACACACAAAGCGAATCTCCTCCGGCCCTCGTCAGAAGCAAGAAACGAGGAACCACGATGCCGAACAAACACGTTAATCTCAGATGTGCCCAATCAGAGGTAGCGCATAGACGGCGCTAGTACGTTTGAGAAAGGAGGCCCGTAGATCAATGTGCATCCAGCGGCAGAGCGCCATGGGCCTTGATGTGTCAAATCCAGCATGACGCACAACGACTCTACCGGTGGTACAATGGAGTCATTCACTGTATTGACTTGCCCTTGCTGCGTCGTTGCGTTGCTCGACTCCCGACCCTTCCTGTGATACACAACTCTAATACACAACTCTATTCCAGCCACTGCTGACCTCGATCGTTGACCGCCGTGTTTGTATCCAGGTTGGCCTGGGGGCCGCGAGAGCTGCGTGTTTCGTCCTTGAAGCGAAGCTGCAGCTTGTAAACGTCAGGAGGGCCTCCGGCGTCTACTGTGTCGATTGGATGGGCCTTGACGGTTTTCTGTTTCAACGCTAGTAACTATAGTAACTCGACGATAGGTTTGGGGGAGATTAGAAACGCGTGAACGCGTTGGGTATATTAAATGCTTCGAGCACGAGCGTCTGCGATCAAAAACAAGTCTAATCCATCATCATCAAAAGCAGCCGCGTTATACATAGTATACACTGAAGAAAAGCACCTATTTTGGCAGTCTCCACGAGCCCACGTTTTACGCGCGAAGCGAAGCATGCGAGAACGTGTCGGTGCCCTGCTATTTGATCATCACGAGAACTGCACCATGTGGCCCTGCGTCTCCGCCCACACGTCGTCCTGTAGCCTCGTGCTTCTTGTTGCGGCTTAGTCAAGACTGCATCCTTCTCACTACACGAATACTACTACACGAATATCCACACACCGCATGCGTTGTGCGAAGTTGATCGCGGCTATCTTTCCGCTTTGCAGTCAGTCTCCACGCGGGGCTCCAATCGTCGAGACCAAGACCCCAACGTGACCCGCCTCCACTCCAGGAAGGCCCCGTACATGGCGGAAGGTTGGTGGTGCACTTTTAGTCGGCCCCTTCAAGGCGTAGTGTGAGCCTCGTGAGCTACTGTGCCGGAGTCTTGTGCTGCACCGCGGGATCTAAGGGTAGCTGTCAAGCCATGTTGTCAACGGCAGGCGATTGCGATGGCGAGAACATGGCGATGCGTACATGTCCATCAGGCTCAGTCAAGATAACAAACAAAGGCGGTCCTGTGCGTGTACATCATCGTGCATGACACGCCGCGCACTCGACAGCAGCTCCAATCGCAGCATGTTCGGACCGAGCAGGAAGAAGCACCATTTCCCGCCAAGTGCCCCCGGCAGCGCAGCCCGGACAGGGACCTACATTCGTTCGCATGCACTGCAGCTCCAGCATCTCTGATCACGAAGCGCTATCGTGCCCACTGTCTTTTTCCACTGTAGCCCAATGTGACCGAGTTTCTCACCGCTCTTGCGCTAGCTTTACCACATCCCTCGTCTCGGCTGCTTGACCCTGTGACGTGCCCCCAGCGAGCCGCCTTTTCGTTCCTTCTCCCATCCACCCACCACCTTGGAGTCGGGCTGCTCCCTAACAGCCTGCCACCTTCACCATTCCTTCCTACTCGAACAGCAACAGGAGGCCTGCCAACATCCCGCTCCACAACCTTTCGTCCTCTGCCCGTCCGCGAGACCACGATTCCGCTTATCTGCTCGACGACCACGATAAGGACAGCGCGCGGTCCTCGTTTGACACACCGTCCTCCGACTCCGACCTTTCCGTCTGGAGCGACACTGGTGACCTCGTCGACCAGCTAGCTGACCGGGAAGATCCGCTCCGCATCAACCTCGAAGCCGGCAACTCATCGAGGCCAGGCAAAAAGCAAAAGCGAGCTCGCTTTGCCTCCCAGGACCTGCACGAGAAGGGCTCCCACGGCCTTCGCCTGGAAGACATTGAGATACCCGACCCGGGACCACGAACAATCTCAAAGGCAGAGAAGATACTAGCCAAAATCATGGCACCCAACGATGGGCCCTCCCGTATCCACGGGTTACACGGCAAGAAGCTGATGTATGCAGCACAGATTCCAACTCTGGGTGCTCAAGCTAACAGCAATGCAACAGCTACTTCACAAGTGTCTTTGTATCATTAGGCGTCTTCCTGTTTGGTTATGACCAGGGAGTCATGTCCGGTATCATCACGTACGCCGTCGCGAACCCCTCCGCCCTTGACCGTATCTAACAGCCTGACAGCGGTATCTACTTCAAGGACTACTTCAACCAGCCTTCCGCCGTCGAACTCGGTTCCATGGTAGCTATCCTCGAAGTCGGTGCCTTCATCTCATCACTAGTCGTGGGCCGCATTGGTGATGTGATTGGAAGACGGAAGACCATCTTGTACGGCTCCCTCATCTTCGTCGTAGGCGGTGCTCTTCAGACCTGCGCGACGGGCATTCCCATGATGCTTCTTGGACGAGTCATTGCTGGTCTTGGTGTCGGATCGCTCTCCACCATCGTCCCTGTATACCAGTCCGAGATCTCGCCTCCCCACAACCGAGGAAAGATGGGCTGCATTGAGTTCACTGGCAATATCACAGGCTACGCAGTCAGTGTGTGGGTTGACTACTTCTGCACTTATATCAAAAGCGACTGGTCATGGAGAGTCCCGCTCTTTATGCAGTGCATCATGGGTCTTCTTTTGGCCGCAGGAAGCTTGCTCATTTGCGAGTCTCCAAGGTTTGTACCATGATCTCAACCCCTGGAATCTGCTGACACATACAGATGGCTCTTGGACAACGATCACGACGAGGAGGGCATTGTAGTTATTGCCAATTTGTACGGAAAGGGCGATATTCACAACCCCAAAGCACGAGATGAATACCGAGAGATCAAGATGAACGTGCTGCTCCAGCGTCAAGAAGGTGAACGATCATACCCCGACATGTTCAAGCGATACTCCAAACGCGTCTTCATTGCTATGTCCGCCCAAGCCCTCGCGCAACTCAACGGCATCAACGTCATCTCGTACTATGCACCGCTTGTCTTCGAAGAGGCTGGTTGGTACGGTCGCCAAGCTATTCTGATGACAGGTATCAACGCCATCACGTACCTGCTATCCACCATTCCGCCATGGTACATTGTGGACACTCTAGGCCGCAGGAAGATTCTGTTGTCTGGAGCGCTTATGATGATGATTTCGCTCTCCGCCATTTCGTACTTCCAATTCCTGCAAGCTTCCTGGACACCCAACATGGTCGTCATATTTGTCATGATCTACAACGCCGCATTCGGATACTCATGGGGTCCTATTCCGTGGTTGTACCCACCGGAGATCCTGCCACTCAGCATTCGTGCCAAGGGTGCCAGTCTGAGTACCGCGACTAACTGGGCTTTCAACTGGCTGGTTGGAGAAATGACACCGATTCTGCAGGAGCACATCCAGTGGCGATTGTACCTTATTCACGCATTCTTCTGCGCAGCCAGTTTTGTCATTGGTAAGTTTGATGGAAAATGTGGGCTAAAGCGACTTACTGACTGTATCTAGTGTACTTCATCTACCCCGAAACTGCGAACGTCCGTCTGGAAGACATGAACTCCCTATTCGGAGACGCTACTTCAGTCATGCCCACTCCGGAAACTCTCGCGCAAGCCGAATCTCTCTTCAGCGGAGAAGGTCGCGGCTCTCCTGTGCCCTCGCTTGATATCCGAGGCGGACGCCGTGCGCAAGATGACGCGATCCCTGGACTCAACATCGACCCCCCTGACATCGAGAGCGGCAACAAGAACATGGCCAAGGCGGATACCGAGAACGGCGACGGTCTTGGTGGCTGGATCAGCAACATGGTCAAGAGGACAAAGGGCAATGGCGAAGGCGACAGCTCGAGCGGAAAGTACAAGCAGGTCGGACAAGACGAGGACTAGAGCACACACGGTGTGTACGTTGACAATTTTGCATTTCCTACGTATATCTGCATCATCTAGACAGGCGATGCGCATGTTCCAATATCACGGGCCAATGGCTCATCGAGCGAAGTTTTTGGGTTGGTAGAGTATGCGAGGCATATTTTGGGCGTTTGTTGTTTGTGTGTTGAGTAGGTTAGAGGAAGGCGTCTTCCACAAGACGAAATTACCATGTTTTTCTCAGCATAGCATGATGTAGGGAATAGGCTTTGGTGACGTGCATAATGATGGTCCCCCCTCCCCGGCTTAGCCACCCACTACTCTAGGCAGATTACCATTGCAACGGCACCTCGGAAGCGCGATTGGGGCCAGATGAATGGAATAGTGGGCTTCACGTGATGGATGTGAACAGGTGTCGCTTCTCCCGTGCCCTGATGCGGCGGCCGGGCTCTAGCTTCCTTTGCTCGTACTGTAGTCTAATTCGGGAACAGCCCACCTCCTCGATCTCGCAGCGCAGGAGATTCTTCCATTGCTCCCACCCCGTGAACTTCCCTTTTATGCCTTCACTTGCTTTGGGCTTTTCTTCTACGGCCCACGGCCACTTTTAATTGATTCCCTTCTCTCGAGTTGTGTTGCGACCGACCGACCGACTGCATCGCGTAGTCGCTCAAGCTCCGTGGTACCGACCAACCGTTTACTACCAAATCCAGCCTCAAGCCACGAATCCCTTCCACCTTCTTCACGACTTCGCGATAATATCTGGAGACAACCAGGGAAACAGCCACCGCCCATCACCATGGCATCGACTGCGCACACGACGGGCGCCGATGCACAAGCAGAGGAGCTGCGGAGGAGAAATGTAGCCGCGCCATCACAGGCCGCAGCGCCAATCGCTGCACTGGCACAAGAGAGGGAGAAGTCAAAGGACAAGGTACGCCATCTTGTACAAGCCGCATCAGAGCTGTCAATATTCTGGTGGCTGCAGGGACTCGTTGCTAACCAAACCGCAGCCTTTCAGCATCATCTCCTTCCTGGACGACTACGAATTCATCTGGGCACCTCTTATATTCACCTTCTTCGCCTTCTTCACACGCATGTACAAGATTGGCCTCTCGCCAATCGTCACTTGGGACGAAGCCCAGTAAGTCCATCAACTCCGACGCACACATGACTAGTTCTGACTTGGTGCAGCTTTGGCAAGTTCGGTTCACACTACCTCAAGCGCGAGTTCTACTTCGATGTCCACCCACCGCTCGGAAAGATGCTCGTCGGTTTGTCCGGATACCTCGCAGGATACAATGGCTCGTTCGAGTTCAAGTCCGGAGAAACGTACCCCCCGGAGCTGAACTACACCTTCATGCGCCTCTTCAACTCGGCTTTTGGTGCTGTTTGCGTTCCCCTGGCCTACTTTACCGCCAAAGAATTGAACTTCCGCCGTCCGACCGTATGGTTCGTCACCCTGGCCGTTCTCTGCGAGAACTCGTACACCACTATCAGCCGTTTTATCCTCCTTGACTCTATGCTACTATGCTTCACCTTCACTACCGTCTTCTGCTGGTCCAAGTTCCACCGCCAGCAACATGACCCATTCTCTCCTGAGTGGGGTCTGTGGCTGATGCTTACCGGAGTTTCAATTGGTTGTGTATGCAGCGTCAAGTGGGTTGGATTCTTCGTCACAGCTCTCGTTGGATTGTACACCATTGAAGACCTCTGGCGCAAATTCGGTGACCTGAAGATGCCCAAGGTACGTGAGATTACCCATCGCCTGCTATCAAACTAACGTGTACAGATCGAGCTAGCCACGCATCTCGCTTTCCGCGTTTTCAGTCTGATCCTCATCCCCCTCGCCGTCTACATGTTCTCCTTCTACCTCCACTTCATCATCCTCGAAAACAGCGGTCCCGGCGATGCGCAAATGAGCTCTCTCTTCCAAGCCAACCTGCGAGGAACTGAGGTTGGCAAGAACAGCCCTCTCGAAATCGCATACGGTTCCCGCACCACGTTGAAGAACATGGGATACGGAGGTGGACTGCTCCACTCTCACGTCCAGACATACCCCGAGGGCTCTACCCAGCAGCAGATCACTTGCTACCACCACAAGGATGCCAACAACGACTGGTTCTTCTACCCCAACCGCCACGAGGTCGAATACAATCCTGAAGAGGAGCTCCGCTACCCTGGCAACGGTGACGTTATTCGTCTGATCCACGCCCAGACTGGCCGTAACCTCCACTCGCACCAAGTCGCTGCCCCTGTTACAAAGAGTGATTGGGAAGTTTCTTGCTACGGCAACACAACTGTTGGTGACACCAAGGACCATTGGGTTGTTGAGGTCGTACGCGACGCTGCTTCGAGGGACTACTCCAAGCTCCGGACGCTTACTACCGCTTTCCGTCTGAAGCACAAGGATCTGGGCTGCTACCTCCGCGCTGGCAATGTCAACCTACCTCAGTGGGGTTTCAAGCAGATCGAGACAACCTGTGTCAAGAAGAACAACCCTCGCGATGTTTACACTCATTGGAACATCGAAAGCCACACCAACGAGAAACTGCCGCCAGGCAACCCTGGTGACTACAAGTCTCCCTTCCTCCAGGACTTTATCCATCTTAATGTTGCTATGATGACATCTAACAACGCACTTGTCCCTGACCCCGACAAGCAAGACGACCTCGCCTCCAGTTTCTGGCAATGGCCCATCCTCCATGTCGGTCTCCGCATGTGCGGCTGGAACGATGACAGTAAGCATGCACCTCACTTTGCCCTCGTTCCGTTACTAACATAACCACAGTCGTCAAGTATTTCCTCCTAGGTAACCCCTTGGTCTACTGGGGCAGCACTGCCTCGCTAGGCATTTTCGGTCTTCTTCTCCTCTTTTACGTCGTCCGCTGGCAACGTGGATTCAATGACCTGAAGCAATCGGAAATCGACTTGTTCCACTACGCAGGTATCTATCCCATCATTGGCTGGGCTCTCCACTACGCACCATTCGTCGCCATGGGCCGTGTCACATATGTGCACCACTACTACCCCGCTTTGTGGTTTGCCATCATCGTTATGGGCTTCTGCTTGGACTTCACCACAAGGAAGTTGAACAAGCAGGTACAGTGGGGCATCTTTGCTGTACTGTACCTTGCTACCATCTTCCTGTACTGGCTGTTCAGGGCCATCTCCTTCGGTATGGTTGGACCTAGCAGCCAATGGAAACACCTCAAGTGGTTCGAGAGCTGGAGGATCACCGACTAAACTCTCTCCTGCTCTATTTTGAGAGCAAAAAGGACGTTTGCTCTTTTTGTAACAACATCTTCTTTGCATCGGGCTTCTTTTGGTGAACAGGGGGGTATCTAGGGTTATGGATATCAGGCTGGTGAAGGCATGCATCAAAGATTTTTTCAAGGCAAGGGCTAGCGAAGGTGTTCCTAGGGTGGAGTCTCTCTTTGGTGGATGATATAACTCTAGACATTTTAAAAGGACAATGTGATGATGCATTCTACTTCCCTCTGCTCTGCGGTCGTTGCCCACTCAGATAGGTAGCCTCTTCGGCTCATTTGATCCTTTTCGTTCAGAGGCAACTTGTACGGAAACGTTCGCAACCCGCCGTATCTTTTGTCCCACCTCTCTCTCTATCCACGATTCAATCTATTGGGTTTGTTAGTGTGATCAGAGGGCGTTGAACAGCTAATTGACCGGACAGTACTTGAAGATCAGCCAAGCGCATATGGTGGAGACCAGACAAATGCTTCCAGCGAGGAAGAACCAGCGCCAGTCTGGGTTGTCTTTCAAGATATTGACGTTCATGCCAAACAGGCTCTGATAACAACATCGTTAGTCTAAAACAAGTTCGCGCAGGTCCGCATTGACTCACTGATGTAAACATTGCGGGAAGAAAGATGAACTGTAAGTGTAAGCAGTCTCGTCTAGTTGCTACAACAGCGAGGATCTCATACCGTTATCCAGCTCAGGCGTTTCGTGCTTGTAGCAATACTGATCGACCTATGAACATCGTGTATCGACACCCAGGCGAATTCCTTTGCAAAATGAGCTAAGGGGAATGGTCATTTGGAGATCCGTCGAGGGAACGTACCAGCTGTAACAGATCTCTTACGGTCTGATCGAGCCCGTCAAGCCGCCCACCTATTGTAGTCGTGAAATCAGATAGCAACATATCCACCTCATCGGAGCCCTGGTTTCCATTGTAGCGAAAGGAGTAGTCGGAAGCAAACTCGTGGGCAGTTCTTGTTTGTTCCTTCAGAATTTTGCGAAGATCAGCCCATGTTCGCGCGTTTTGCGCGAGCCTCAGTATGAGCTCACGGTTACTGCCTCTTTCTTCGAGTTGACTGATGCGCTGTAGATTAAATTAGACATGATAGAAATGAGATAATGCGATAGAGTCATTGTAAGAGCCTCACTTACACATTCAGCCAAATGTTGCTCAGCTAGATCACAGATTTCTAGCCACACCTCTCGCAGGTGGGATAGGAATTGTGCGAAGAAATCGAGTCCGTCCTTTGGAATGTTGCCGCTAGGAAGCATGCTGAAGTAATCCGTTGGTCTGCACCTTAATTCATCATCTACGTTTGAGGTTGATGATGATGTACTCCATGCGATTCTACACGTGCCTCGATCGGGTACCTTGAAGAAATTTCCATTCGCCTTGTCGAAGCCAGCAGGAAACCAAATTGCGACGGAGAAACGAACATTGCCACTTTTGGAGAGACTTGGTACGGACGTCTCTAGCATGTTCGGCCGTATCGGTACTATGGAGGGATGTAATTGGCCATTTTTCCATGGCAATTCGTTGGCCAGCAGCCTTGTATGACTTTGTAAGCTTATTATCTCAATTCAAATCCCCCGTTTGACTTACATGAGACGACGCCCTGTCTTTGGTGCGTTATGCATCTGCCTGATTGTATCTGGAATAGCTGCTGCTTTGATGGAACGTATAGTCTTCTTCCCACTCAACTCTTTCTCCAGGTATACAGCATCTGGCATTGTTTGACCATACGCATCAAGCCACTCATGTTTTCTGACTCCCGTCATGTCTGCAGAACTCTCAAGAAGCATGTTAATAAAATCGCAGCGCTTTCGTTGTATCGCTAGACGTAATGCTGTGTTGCCTCGCCCATCTTTGCAGTCGACACTCGCTCCAAAGGATACGAGGCTCTCCGCTATGTCGAAGTGTCCAAGTATCGTTGCAACGTGCAGGGCCGAGCGACCGAGGTTGTCTTTGGTATCGACATTGTAGCCAGCCTCTAATAGAACTGTCACTAAAGACGCTTCCCCTCTCTGAACTAGTAAATGCAACGTCACCTCATCCTTCTTAGAGAGTAATTCCATCACATTGTTATCTCGGCGTTTAGCAGCCGACCATAACAACGTTTGTTCGTTTTCGTCGAGGGCATTAATTTCTGCGGTAATAACACTGGGTTCGAGACGTTTAAACAACAGCTTTAGCATCACGGCGTTGCCTGTTTGAGTGGCACAAGACAGGAGAGCTCTGTTGTGTGTACCCTTTGGGGTCTCGCCGAAGCCGGAAGCTTTTAGGAGTTGCCTTGCAATACTTTCGTATCCCATGAGCAGGGCTAGGTGTAGCGGTGTACTTAGATCCTTGTCTGGAACATGTACGAGAACTCTAGACTTTTTGAGCAAGTGCTCCACCACTTTGTGATGTTGTTCCTGCACGGCTTCATGTAGAGGAGTGCGAAGATTTTGGTCTTTTACGTTCACATCTGCACGATCCATAAGCGCAATGACACAGTCTTCATATCCATCAATCGCAGCCAGATGCAGTGGAGTTGCACCCCTTGGGTCTCGTAAATCTGGATCAGTGCCATGTGCAAGTAACAGCTTCACGACACCCCTGTGGCCATTCTTTGCAGCTGCATGTAATGGTGAGCCACCGTACTCGTCTTTGCCAACATCTGACATGGTCTCCAGTTTTGGTGTACCTAGTAATGCGTCTACCAGCTCTTCATGCCCGTTTTCCGCGGCCAGGTGGAGTGGGGCTGAACCATTCTTATTGCGTGGGGCTAAAGTGATCTCGGCTCGTGCAAGTAATAACACCAAGATCTCTTTATAACCCTTCTTCGCGGCTGCATGTAGTGGAGTTTCACCACTTTTATTTTGAGAATTCACGTCGATGCCAGGATGTGCAAGCAGTAATTTCGCCATCTCTTCCAGGCCTCGATCCGCGGCCAAATGTAGCGGTGTCTGCTGATTCAGGTTATCAAGGCCATAGGTGTCTTTGCTGTTGACGTCTAGGCCATCTTGGTCGAGCAGGAGTTTAGTTACATCGATGTGCTTGAACAGTACAGCTGCATGTAACAGCCCATAGTAACCATAAGGTCTTTCGTTCACGTCGAATTTCCGCGTCGCAAGCAGCATCCCGGCTATCCTCGCTTGTCCGTGCCACACGGCCCACCACAGCGCTGTCCTGCCCTCTGAGTCTTTCGCGGTTTTGTTCCATTCATTCGTACCGAGCCGTAACTCTTTCCATTCGTTCGTACTGAGCTGTGACTCTACTTCATCCTCCTTCCCATTCTTTGCGGCCAACCACAGTGGTAGGTTCTGATTGCTCTGGGAGGAGTTGACAGTACTGCCTGTCGCGCTCTGTTTGCTTTCTAGCAAAGCTCCGGAATTCATTTTGAAGAGTGCCCTAGGTTGGTAGAATAAATTACAACATTAAGCTCTCCAAAGAGAGACGAATGTATAAGTAGAAGGGCTGAAGCATAAATGATCGCGATGCCTCGTAGCACGAAAAAAAGGTCAGCCAAGCAAGTATTGAATTGCGAGATGTACAACTGTACCAGAGCGCCTTTTATGAAGAGAAAAGAAGGCAGTAATAACATCGTTGATGACCTCCGGTGAACGAGGTAGGAGTGTTCCATAGCTGCGCCACGCTTCTAAGCGCCTACAAGTTGACGTGGCAGCCTTATCCCTGTAAAGCGGTACCGAGGATGCTGAGCCACAAGAAGTTATTTCTAATATCGGGAATTATAACTTGACAGGCATATTGTTGCTGAAGCCACGAGCAGGATTGCGATCGTGGCGGCACATTGAGCATACCTCAAGTTTCGGCACGAATGAATGTGACGTTGCGCTGGACTTTATACTCCTACATGTACTTTCACATCCATTACATATATATCCACTTCACTTCCAAACCTCCGCTGTGCCGCGTTCTCCTATCTAGTACTTTAATCCCGACAGGACCAGCCCAGCCCTCGTCTCTCTGCTTCCCTGCTTCCCTTCTTCTCACGAAGCCAAAGTTACTCAGCCCTCGGTACCTCAGTACTCAGCCAACCTCAACCTCCGCCCAATATTCCTGCGTATCACGTCGCGCTCGACGGGTTCGTTCTGCGCTCGATTTGCGTTGAGTGCCTGACGAAGCATTCCCGCATCGAAGAAGCCATCTATAATCGCGGAAGAAAACCATGAATCAGCCAAAATGAAACATATGGAAGGGAGTTTGTGGGTAGAAACGAAGTGGTGATGGGGAATGAAGTCTCTTGCAATGCTGCCCATGCTCTCGACAATGACTCGTGTTGAGAAAATGATAGACGATGAAATGAAGTAAAGAGAAAAGAAAAAAACACTAAGACGAATAAAAGATTGGTTTCCGCGCCGACTGCGGCACCTTCCTCGCCTTGACTGTCTTGACAACTGGAATAGGCTTATGCGGTGAACTCATCAAAACAGGCGTCATGGGTTTAAAAGGAGGAGAGTGAGGAGGCGTAGGCGGTAAACCGCCTATTCTTGGGAAAGGAGGCGTAGAAGGGGAAGAGGAACAAGAAGCATGGCTCGAGACTTCATCAAGGGAAAGAAGGGAAGGAGGGGAAGGGGGAGTCCTACATCCACCAAGACCGTCGTCGTCGTCATCGTCTACTATACTCTCTGCGGGCGTCTGTTGCTTGCCGCCGTCTCCTAGAATGATTCTGCCTCTGCTCTTGAGACGGCTGGCTAGGGGTCTGTCTTCTGCTTCGCGGGCACGGGTTGCGGTTTTATCGGCCGAGGTACCGCGGCGTTTGATTTGACGGAGGAGTTTGCGGATCTCCAAGAAGTAAGATTCGAGCGCGTCAATGTAGCGCGAAGTTTGGCGGTGCTTGGATGAGGCGCAAATGGAGATGCTGCCGTCTTTGATGATGTAACCGATGCCGAATCCGTCGGCGGATGTTGGGCCGAAACCAAATTGACGGAGAGAAGGGTTGCCGCAATTTGAGGTGGAGAGAATGGTTTGGTTGATCTTGTCCCAGCCACTGTCGGCGAAGAGGGCGGGCATTGAGTGTTGCATTGGCGCTGGTGGTGGTGAGCTGGAGATGGAGTCGTTCTCTGATAGTACCGAGTTGCGGTTGGGTGATCCTACACCCGATGCATCAGCGCTAGATGGTCGCGTAGAGTCCCAGCCATCACTGCTAGCTGTGTCGTTTGACTCGTCGATGGCACGCTGCCAAATGCAGTATAGGGCGTAAAGATGTCGGTCTGGACCTTGGGCTTTGGAACAGATCTTTGTGTTCTCAGTGTGCTTCTGGCAAGCCTTTCGGAGTGCCTCGATCTTTTGCGTTGCTGGGTTCTCGCCCCAGAATGTTGTCAGAAAATCGACTGACTCTTCCGTTACGGACCGGATGGCTTCCGTACGTCCATGGTAGTAGATCTTGGTCATGGCGGGCTCATATACGCACTCTATCCGTCCATATAAACCATAGTACGCTGCCTGGAAGGCCATCTGAACAAAAGCATCAGGAGAGAAACCCATCGAAGTCATGAAGTTCTTTCCATAGTGAGGAAATTCTAGAGTTGCAAACTCGTTCTGTTGGATAAGATCTGCCAGGCGCGTCTCGGCAAAACGAAGTGCTGTGCTAAGTTCCGGCAACATGTCCCACTCAAGCTTATGGGGTGTTGTTTGTACGTCGCCGAAGCTATCTGGGTCGCGCTTCGCGGGATCAGGGCTCGAAGAAGCCCACAGACTTGGTGCACTACCGTTGATAGTCCTGGCAAATCGGAGGATTGTATCTGTATATACGTCGGATGCAAACCTTAGCACTGTATGACCGTCGACACCGGTGTGTTCGAAGTTGATTCCAGCACTTCCGTTTTTGCAAACGATGATTTGCAGCTTGTCATACCAGCGATTGGTGCATGTTCCCACCTGAACCCCGCGCTCAATCTTGCTCGTACCGCAAAGCATATTCATACAGAGATCGGCACCTGTTTGTGGCTCGGTGTAATCCAGACATAAGACGAAAAGTGCCGAGTCGACGATGTTGAGACAGTCAGAGTTGTTTGAACCTTCTTCCCTGTGCAATACATCGCGGAGACCTGCCCAGACCTTTCGATTCTCCGTACTGAGCACACCTAGTGCTCCTTTGGCAGCATCCTGAATCGGTATCTCCTGTGCGTCCTCTACAATGACTTGGAGGTTGAGCGCAATATCCTTTTCTGTCATGATCAGGTCGTTGTTATCATCCAGAACATCGAACCAATAGAACTGGCCATAGCACATGACGACGATATGCTTGGACGTAGGGTCTTGACCGATCTGGCATCCATGTTCGGTGGGTATCCTAGCAGTACCAAACAGTCTTGAGTATTGGTACATGCACAACGGTTGGCCGCGGATGGTGTCAGGCGGTAGTTCTTCTAGACGAACAGCTCTGACGAACGACAGTGCCGAGACCACTAATGAGGCTGCGCGAGTGACCTGGTTGTTGCGAGCTGGGGTGGGATCATCCTCCAGTAAGAAAAATGGGTTTAGATTAAGTACCACCGGGTTGTCAAAATTCAGATATGAATCATACCCTAGCAATAGGTCAGCGTATGATGCATGGATATGAATGACACTTTCAAGTATCAATCACGGAACCACCTCTAATACTGCTCACTCCTGTCGTCTGAAATACAAGGCATGTACTTACAGAACTGCTCGATGTAGTTGTTCTTTCCGCTAGCGTATTTCTTCAGCTTTTCCTGAAGCACTGGTCCATCTGTCTTGAGGAAGTCCTCTACGGAATGAACCGTGTCACTGTGTTCCTTTGGTGATTGCAAGGGTTTGAGAGCAGCGATGTATTTCTTGCACGAACTGTCTAGCTCTGGGATGGGAAGCTTCGGAAGACTGTCTTCGTGTGCGAAGGTAATGCCTGGTCTCGAGTTTGGGTTGGTATGGCTCGCTAACGGTGCCTGTGCCTCTGCAGAGTGAGACTGTGTGCTGTTCTTTGCGTTCTCTAACGAGCGAGTGGTATCGTTGCCTTCTGAGCCAGACATCTTGGATGCTTTGACTAGTGTGTCCTCAAGGGACGACGGTTGGGTAAAAGTGCGGACTGCCATGACGAGTATGTCAGTTACGCGTAGAGAGGAGAGATGGAGGTGGCAATGTTGAGATGCCGCAAGGCACTGCGATAGAAATAGTGACAGTCCTGAAGACAGTAGGCCGGCATGGGTACTCAAAGTTCGCGAAGAGGCATCAAGGTACTTGGGAAGGGAAGCTTCTTATAAGACTCGAGACGAATGGGTAAAGTATGTCTAGGGCGGGTCCACACGACAACTGGGCATGTGAAACGCGCGATAGGCTTTGTAATAAACAGACAAGGTGATGCAAGTATGCCGCTCAGGTAGCCGACCGCTGACCCGGAACGTGACGCGGACCATGGCAGACCAGAGAGGTGAATGACCCGATGTGGTGAACCAACGAAAGGCCCATGCAAGGAGAATGCAACTTACACAGTAGCGTCAAGCCCTAAATGAGGTGCGAATAGTTTGACGTCTTGTCCAGTTCTGAAAGCTGAACGAAGCTGCTGTCGCTGCTGTAGTCAATGTACACTCTTGCGCAACAACTTACTGTACTCCAATGGGCGTTATTGTGCTCTCCAAGATGCAGCAAGACAAGGATGTAGGACCGGAAAAGATGAGCCGCGGTGGAAGCACAGCAAATGTCAGAGAGACTCGGTCGTGAGGATACGGTAGGCGCGCAAGGCTGCTCCCGAGGTGTACTAGTGGGCCTGTTAGAAACCAGCTATCTATGTTACGGACGAGTGGAAGCGTCGGCGGTAGCGCGAACTTATAAAGGACACCCACCGTCGCGTAGGTGGTCCGGTTAATCGGAGAAATATGCTTGGGCAGTTCTACAACAACGGTTACAAGGCACTCGCGTTGGATGGGACTATAGTGTGTAGCTACTTGGAGGAGAGGATACTGCGCGCCTATGCGGTCACTGCTCACGAGCTCTACGTAGGTAACCTGAGGCGTCGATGTCTGGGCCTAGTGCTGGGCGGGCTGGGATTGGGGGAGTTGGCTGATGTATGCCAACGTGTGGAGAAGCGGGGAGCAGGGTGTGACGTAGGACACGGACCATAGGAGAAACGGAAGACCCCCACTATGGCATGCCTCTGTGGACTAAACCAACTAGCGGCCAAGAGCTTCTCGAACATACGCGAACACATTTCATCACGCGTCAAGCACCCCACGGTCCACGTCTGTCCAACCTCTCCGTCCGTGACATTTGACCGAAAAGGCGAGTCCGGAACCGATTCGCGCGTGCCATCCGCAGAGCCGCGCAAATGCGACACTTTGGCCCATGACGGATCTGCTGCAGGTGCTGCCTGACTTCGACGCGAAACCCTACACCCATTTGCTGCCCTCGCTCGACAAGGCCCTGATCACCTCTAATGACCTGCTTACCCTTGACGCGGCCGACGTTGCCAAACGCGCCCAGCTGCCGGCGGCAGAGGTGAGGAAACTCGCAGATGCCGTGATAGCTGCTCTACACCACCAGCTGGGTTTCGGCGGAGAGGAAGCAGTCGGCAATTCCTTCCTTTCCGCATCGGGTAACCCGGACACGACCGAACATGGCTGGACTTGTATAAGCACCTTGGATCAAGAGCTGGACGCTGCCTTGGGTGGAGGCATACCGCGCGGGTACCTGGTAGAGGTCACCGGTGAGAGGTACGTCAGTATGGGGTATTGTTTAACAAGACTATACTGACTGACTGCATTAGTGGTGCCGGTAAAACGCAACTACTCCTTACCTTGCTGCTAGCCTCACAATTACCGCCTCCCCAAGGTCTTGCCAAATCGGCAGTCTACATATCTACCGAGGCAATACTATCCACGACCCGTCTCGCCCAGCTGCTATCCTCCCACCCGGCCCTCGCTCCATTGCCCGCCGACCAGAAGCCCTCACTATCGCGCGTGTTGAGCATACAGACCCCAGATCTCGAATCACAGGAGCACATACTGCGCTACCAGCTACCCGTAGCCATCGAGAAGCATGACATCGGCCTTGTCATCTTGGATTCTGTGGCCGCCAACTACCGCGCTGAGTTTGAGAAGCAGGGCGCAGGAAATGGAGCTGCGGCTATGGCTAGACGAGGCACACAGCTTGTACAGCTAGGTGAACTACTAAGAGAACTCGCGCGCACAAAAGGCATAACTATCGTCGTAGCCAACCAGGTTGCCGACCGATTCATAAAGGCACCGTCTGCTGTATCCTCTAATACTGCTTCACGAACAGCATCTACCAACAGCCAAGGCACTGTCCGTACAACATCAAACAACAGCCAAGGAGACAATCCAGACAACACGACTCACGCCATCGAGCCAGCCTCTCAAACCGCTGAAACCCTCGTCCTCTCCCCCGACCCCCTCGCTCTCGACCACCAACAACGCTGGTTCACCGGCTGGGGCGACTCGCAATACGAACAAGCTCACGTGCAAAAAACACCCTCTCTCGGCCTCGTCTGGACAAACCAACTCGCCTGCCGCATCGTCCTCAAAAAGACACCCGTCTTCGCCAGCAGGGGACCTCTGATCCATACCGTCAACGGCCAGGATCAGTGGAACGACGCGGAGGAAAACCATATATCCAAGTGGCGACGCTGGTTCAAGGTTGTGTTTGCGCCTTGGGCTCCGCCGTCGGAAGGGAGGGGCGTCGAGTTTGAGATTCTAAAGAGTGGAATTAGACATGTCGATAGAAAAGAAAAGACATAATAAACAATACATATATATACAACATAACCGGCCTTGTCGTACAAAGTCCAGACCTTACTTTTCCACAGATTCATGTCCCTCGTCACGCACGTCGATCCCAGCAATGGAAGAAAAAGAAAACAATACTTCAGAGCTCTCATATATCTTTGTCTTTCATTTTATTTTTTTGGTTCTCGCTAGAAGCTACTACTACCACATATAAATAAAAGGGGGTATAAGTGACAAAAGACAATACGTCTATACATCCTCACGCAATACAAATGCCACCAAACCTGCGCTATGCTGAACCAAACCCGATTCTCCGAGCCTACAAAATGCGTAATGAAGAGAAAAGAGACGAGCACGCTATCCGAGGAGCCAGTCATTGTCGTCATCGTCGTTGGGGCACGCGGCACTCCTACCGTTGCGACTCCGCTCGGCGACGGCGAGTACCGTGTCCCTGTTCCTGCTGCTGCTACCTCCTGCCCTGTGACTCATTAGCTAGATGAAGGGTACACGAGCCCGTGCAAAGGAACAAGGGGAGCTAACGTACTAAGACGCTTCCGCCACCAACAACAGCTCTTTGCTTTCCGAGCCAGCCCTTGGGTGCTTCGCTGCGTCTTTGCAGGATAACGGTATTGCTAAGGAGGCGTTGATTCATGTCATACCACATGCTCTTTACGAGGGCGTTTTCGCGTCGCAGGTTTTCGACTTCTTGTTGTAGTTCGACCTGTGTTTGTTGGCATTTGTTGTAATAAAAAACACAAAACTACCATATCCATGGTTGCCAGGCTGCTGAACGCGAGATAGAGGGGACGCGACATACCGAGCCCTTCTCAGAGGTCTCCTTCCGCGCGACTTCGAGCTGCTCGCGGAGGCTGCTAGAGGTGGTGAGTTGGTCTTGGAGGTCCTGGGTCCTTATTAGCAAAAGCGTGATTGCATTAAATTAGAGTACATGGGAGAAAAGGGGTTTTAAAAGTCGATGTGAAAAGTATGCGTATACTCAGGCAGCCAGGCCGAGGACAAACTTGCCACACAGTCATTCGACGATTGAATCGTCGACTTGGTCCTCCGCTTTGGCGAGACTAGCTGCGCCATGCGGCCCCACGTGGTTTGCCCCGTCCCAGCTGTTGAAGTAGACATTTCCGACATAGATTTATCCTTGCTTAGATAATTCTTGTACGGCGAAGTCGGCGAAACAAGAGTAGCTGCAGTGAACGATGGTTCGAGCTGTCTCTTCATTGTCGAAACCGCTGCATCGAATGCTGAAGAAGACTTGCTATGAGATGCCTGTCTGGCACTTACCTTCTTTGCCTTTTCTAGGGCTGCTTCGGCGGATAATACCGTCTCCGCAATCTCCGTACTCGTGGTATCTAGCGTTTGTGGTTGTACTTCTGGTGGTGCTTTGATGACAGACTCTATTCGTTCACGCATCTGCCGTATAGTCTCGACCCTCTTAAGCTCGAGAAGCTCTGGCGGGAGGTTTTGGCGGTCGAGCAGCGCTGCTCGAAGAAGACCTGACTTTTCTGCATTCGCAAGTTCGAGCTCTCGTAGTCTGTCGTTGGTCCTTTCTTGCAGTACTAGCAGGCGCTCTTGTTCCTTTTGAATAGCAGTTGACCGTGTATCGTCGTCGATGTCGGATTCTGGCAAAGTTAGCACAATCTCATAGATTTATCGCGACACGTACTCCTATTAAGCTCATTGCGAAGTTCCGCCATTTGTAGGTCTTGCTCGCGCAACCGGCGACGGAGCTCCTCGAGCTCGGTTTGAGCCGATGTTAGCTTTTCATTCTGTTCCAGGAAGGGTTTCTGGCTGTTTTCGTCCTTTTCCGCCATCATGTCAGACCGCAAACCGAGGTTCTCCTGCATCTGCTTAAGAGTTTCGCTTTCTAGCGACTTCAAACGAGCATTGAGGATATCCACTCTTTGTTGCAGAGCGATAGCGTCTGCGCTCACCCGTCCATCAGACACTGGCTTCACCTCAGTATCTTGCTCGTCTTGTGTGAGCTCGTCCTCCAGGCTATCACCACGGTCTGCGTGATTCGATGACTCTAGTTCACGTATCCGTTCTTCGAGTTCCTGTTTGGCGTCTTCTGCCTTGTACTGTAGTTCGCGGGTCTGTTCCAATTGCTTCATGAGAAGCAAGTTCTCATGCTCGACTCGTGTACGCTTGCCCTTTTCTTCAAAGATGGCCTGCTCGCCATTGGCAAGCGTCTGGCCGTTCTCCTTGATGATGTTCTGCAGGATGTCGTTACGCTCCTCGACTTGTTCAAGCTGGGCTAATCGTTCGCGAGCCTGTTGGTAGTCTTCCCGAAGCGTCTCCAGCTGCTTGGTTTCCTTGGTGAGAGACTCGATCTTCTTTTTCAGGTTCTCGTTAGCTTTGGCCTTCTGGCTCAGCTCATCACGCTCCGCCTTGACAAGTTGTAGCTGATCACGCAGGTCCTGCTTGGATCCTTCCTCGCCCTCTAACCGATCAAGACGTCGCTTCTGGCTTTCCATAATTTCTCTCGTGTGCACAAGGTCTTGTTCGAGCTGATCAATGTATTGCCGGTCGCGCAACAGGTCGTTCCGTAAGTTTTCGACATCGTCTGATTGAGCTCGTTGTGCCTGGCCGGCTCGGACGTCGAGATAGGCAGTTGCTTCGGCGACTTCCTCCTCGAGCTTTGCTATCCGTTCTCTTGAGACCTTCAGCTCGTCAAGTAGCTTTCCAACCTGGGCCTTTAGTGCTTGTCTATCCTTGTTTGCCTCGAATAGCTGTGCCTCCTGCTCCAATTCATTCCCTGCAGGCGGCGGTTGCCCAGACATGGCTCGTGTGGGCGTTCTATACCCTGTGGGAACTGGATCTGAAGTCAACTCGGCATCGACGCCTAATTCTGACATGCGCTGGTCCAAGGCCTGCATCTCTTGTATGGCTTCAGCAATGGTCTCGGCCGTCTTTTGGCCTAGCTTTGGCATGACTTGTAGCATGCGCTGATTGCTCCGTGGCGAGAAGCATGCGGCCAGCAGCACGGCCATGGTGAGCTTTGCAACAAGCATTGTGGATCCGTCCCGCGCGCCGGCTTTTAGGTCTGGTATCATGCGTTTGGTGAGGACGGGCAGCTGCTCGCATTCTTCGCGTATGTACGTCGAGGTTGTGCGTTCGATGTATTTGAGGTTCTGCCATCGCGGTATCCAATTGTCTGATTGGCGGCGGTGGTTTTCTTCGAAATTGGGCAGAGACTCGTTAAAGTAGTCGGCGTCAATGTCGGCGAGGATCTGCCAGAGTATCTGGCCGTCCTCGAGCTGGGTGAGTGATGTGATTCTGTGGGGGAGGTCGAAGGTGTTGACCTGGACGCGAAGTGTCAGCTATACCACTCGAGCCTATAGTGGGATGCATATAGAGACGCACCCAGTCGAGGAGAGCCTTCAGCAGCTCGGGCTTGAAGTCGTCCATGGTGGTGTATCGCGGGGCTTGGTACCCGCGTGTAGGTTTGTGTATGCTAGTATCCGGTCGGAATAAAGTGAGTCGCAGTCATGCATCTCGAGTTCGCGTTTTTGCGTTGCGGTGAAGAGTACGTGCTCCACCAAGCACAGGCTGTTCCTTGCTCGAGGACGTGTCGCGCGTCGGTGAGGTTGGGGGTGATCCGACCGCTAAGCCGAAATACAGCACACTCCCGCGGCGACGTCGTCAGTCGTCGTGTACCGGGCCCTAACGTCGTGAATGGGTCGTACAGTGAGGGGCATCAACGTGACATTCACTAATGGCCTCGAGACAGACGGGACATGACGCGCATAAAGCCGCCGTTGTGCTGAGACGAATGCACGTCCCTTGGGGCTGCTATCCGCGGGGAAAGAGCCGCTGCAGGGTTCCACCATCTGATCAGTATCTCAAAAGACATCCATCAAATCAATACAAACTCTACTGTACATGGCAACCGCAAAAGCAAAAGCACCAATACACTTTACAACTAACATTCTTGCAAACTCCATTCATACATCGTGAGGGCGAATGATCAAAAAACGACTTTGTCAATTTGAATCCCCTTTGCTCTCTCTCCTTCCCTCTCTCCGTCATCCCCTCAGATCCCCACCTTGTCGTTCTGCGTAGTAACAATGCCATCCTCCTCAATCTCGCACTTGTACACATCGCTCAACGTCGACACCATTTCGAGGGCGGAAGCAGGGGCCTGGGCAGCGAAGCCCTTGATGATGTTGTATTCGTGGGTAATGACACCTAAAGCACTGTTGTTAGTACGTGCCTCCTGCAATCGTGCACGCGTGTAGAAAGCCCATCTTACCCTTGGCCTGTCTAATGGCCTCCTTGCTCTGCTCCACAATCTCGTCGGGTGTGTCCTTTGGCCAGCTGATGATGACGGAGCGGTGAGGTGCGGCGGCCATGATCAAGGTAGCGAGGAGTGCAACAAGGAAGGAGAAGATGGCGAAGCGCATTGTGTCTGGTTTTGCCAAGTAGCGCAGTCTTGTGCTGTGGAGTTTGTGGAGTCGCGGTTCGTGGCTCGTAGTCGGCTGACGGTTGCGAAGAGCCGGGAGAGCGTGGATTGTAGCGTCGCAGACGTCGGGCAGTCGTCTTATCGCAATATAGTGCTATCGGGTGCCGTAAAAGGTTTGTTGGTCGTACCGGGGCGTGGTTTGTAGGTGCCTAGGAGCAACGAGGAAGGTGGTTGTTTCATGTGGTCGATCCGGATGCGGAAGGCGGAAGGAGCGCGTCATAGTCTCACATGTCCAACCAAAATGGCAGCCGCTCTGAGCCCCTCGTCACATCGATGCAATCTCGGCCACGATTCATTGGGCAGTAAAGTTAAACTACAACTGAATAGCAACGAACCTCTTCGTATAGTGTGTCTCGTTTCACGCACGCCATATTATGCAACTTCTGGAATAATGATCGTTCAATTGTCTACTTAGACTTGCCACCTAGCTCCAGGCTCACGACAAGTGCCATTACAAAGGTGCAAAGGAGGAAGTTGGCCGCCCATACGGCGACAGTGCTAGTGTACTCGTGCTCGTTCGTTTTCGTGCTCATGCTGAAACGTTCCTTTTAGTGCACCAAGGTGCCGTATCGTGAAGACAAGTCATGGAATGGGAAGCAATCGATGGGGGCAAAATGAAGGGGTAGAATACAATCAGTGAAAGAGGAAGAGACGCCGTGTAGCCCATCATGTCCGTACGCCGTGTGAATGCCGAATGCTGCCGGGGCTTCGCGATGATGCTCGTGTAGTCGTACTATACAAGATCGATCCATCCGCCCAATGCGACAGACAGAACGATAGATAGAAGAAAGATCGACCCATCAACATCACAAACGCCACCACCAGTGTAATGTACTGGTAACAATGTTGGGTAGTGATGTGTTTTTAGACAGACCGTGGCTCGTCAAGTCATAACCTCGTCGACCGCTTGGCTCAACTAGAACCAACTGCCGTTACCGCCGTTGGTCTGAGCGACACCGTACTGATGCTGGTTCTGGTAACCCTGGTAATTCTGGCGGTTGTCCTGCATAGGGTTGTGCATGTGGTGGGGGTTGCTCAGGCGGTGAGGCTGACGATGAGGCTGGGGTGAAATGATGCTTGGGCCGTAGTTTGCGTTGGCCGTGTACATTGGTGTCTGGAAGCTAGAGGAACCGCTGGCGCCTTGGTAGCTAGCTGCGACGCTGTTTTGCTGATACTGTGGCAGGGCCTGACTGAATACTGCACCTTGCTCAGAGCCCTGAGCAGCACCAGGAGAGGCTTGACCAGAAGAAGTACGCCCGCCCGTGTACGCAGTCAGGCGAGTCTCGCGCTCTCCAACCTTGCTCATGATGCGACGACCATAAGGAGTCTGGCGGATCGAAGGCAGAATTGGACGCATAGCCTCAATGAGGTGCACGCAAAGCTCAGCAGGGGCAAACTCGAGTGCAGTCTGAATAACATAATTGCCGTATGAGTCGCGCATGAGCTGCTCAAGCTGCTCGACATCAAGCAACTCCTCGATCATCATGCCCTTGACGTGTGGCTCAGCGCAGCGGATGCACTTCTCGATAACGTTGGAACTGAACTTCTGCTTGGACAATTCGCAAATCTTGCCCTGGAAGCCTTGACACATGGGTGTTGTGAAGGCAGCATCGTTGAGATCCAGGATGTACTGAACCACGTAGTTGCCGAAAGGATCCTGTACAAGATGGAAACTATGGGCCGTAATCTTGCGAATGAGGTCGACCTTCTGGAAGCCAACAGCATGGTCAATGCAGCGCTGAAGAACACAGCAACCATGGCGATGGGTGCCAACGGTGATGCAGTTCTCGCCTACAGCATCAAAGATGAACTGAGCCTCCACAGACTTGAGGTGGTTCAAACACTTCTGGATGACGTGGTTGCCGTTCAGATCCTGGATGAGATCAACAACTTGTCCTGACAATGCTCGGATGATCATCTGGGTCTGAGAAAGGGTTAGCTCAAAAGTTGGGGAACTTGGACGATCATCACAAACCTGCTCGTCGGTGGAGATGAACTCGATCATCTTCTGCAAGGCGCGAGTGCCGTGCTGGTTGAATGCAATTTGAACCATAGCGGGAGAAGCGTTGCGAACAAGAGTGTTGCGCTGCTCATCGTTGCAGTACTCCAGCAACTTCTGGCAAAGGTAGTTGCCGAACGGGTCAGTCATGAGTTCAACAACGTGAGGGGCAGTCTCGTCAAAGATGATCTGAATGTTCTCCGCATTGCGCTCCTCAAGCTTCTTCTGCAAGAACCGACAACCGTGCTGGTCCTTGCACAGACTGTAGATCTCGTGACGGGGCATAGTCTTCAGATCGTAGTTCATGTACTTGTTTGCATCGTTCTGCAGACGACGGCTCTGGATGACGCGAGCCTGGCTGTCCTGCACACGACCACCTGGTCCGTAAGTGGCGTATGGGTTGTACTGTGGCTGTCCACCACCGTACATGCCGTTAGGGCCATAAGCAGGAGGTCCACCGTACTGAGGTCCGGGGCCAGCTCCAGCTCCAAGATTGAGACCGTTCATAGCACTGTTGAGCATGTTCATACCATATCCATAGTATCCTGGGTTGGCGGCTTGAACACTAGAGTACTGCGACATGGTTGGTGAACCGACAGTCGACGGAAGCCCACTGTTGCCGTTGGTAGCACCTGAAGTGATTGCTGGACCGAAGGGAGCAGCACTCGCGTGCAGGCCTGACTGCGGAGAACGATACTCAGGCTCGCGGTTGCCAAGTGAGAGATCTCGGCTGCTACGGTTGGATAGGACGTTTGACGGAATACGACCCAGACTAGCGTTGTGGTTGTGAAATTGCTGTGAGTGCGTGAAACCGATACTGTTGGCACCGTTGACTCCGTTCTTGAGGGTCGGAACATCGTTGGTAGAGTAGGACTGGGTCAACTTCGGCATACCGTTGGTTGGACCAGTGTAACTAGAGCGCTTAGACTCGTTGTTCTTGGGGCTGAAGTTGAACTCGACCGAGCGACGGTTGTTCTTAGGCGTGTTCTCGGCATTGCCGTTGGGACGGCCGGACTCATATTCGTCCATCTGGGAAGCTTTACGGAATGTGTTAGCAGGAAGGGACTGTTGAGCCTGACGGTGACGGTATCCGTTCCAACCAGTAGACTGAGCCATCTGGGCCAGGGGATTGTGAGAGGGCCAAATCAAGTGCAGCGGAAGACGCAGAGAGTTTCGTACCATTACCAGCACCATCGCGGCGGACCAGGACGGGAAAGTCGTCCTTTGTGTTGCCCATCTGAAGGAACGCCTTGTGGTCTTGAGAGGCAGCAGCGTCATCACCAAACAAGAAACCCGCGGTGTCGATGTGACCTAGAAGAGAGGTCACATCTGGGAGACCGCCGCGGTTGCCATAGTCCATTCTAGTAACGGGCATCGACATGCGGTTGTTCCTAATTCAGTCAGCTCTGCATAAGGTGAAGTCGTGGCAGCTGAACTTACTTGCGGGCAGCTGGACTTAGAGGGGTGAAGTCGTCGTTCTCAAAGTCATCGTGCTCTTCCTCAGAGTTACGACGAGATCCTGGCATCGAGTGCGAAGGCAGATTGCCATTGCCCTGGAAGTTGGCAGGAGGGGAAGTGACTTGAGAGTTGGCGCGGCTGCTGCGTGTAGTGATGGCCGGATTGATACTGGACATGCTGAAACGGTTCGGACGCGATAGTGCAGACGGGAAGCCGTTGACCTCGCTGTACTCAGGCGGTGTGGTGGGCTGGCTATGAGCAGGTCCGCCGTAGTGATCGTTTGAGAATCGGTTGATGTCAGTTTCGCCGTGCTGGGCTTGCAGGTTGAGGAGCTCCATCTCAGCGTCGAAGCGCCGTTTCGCCTCTTTGAGATATTCGTGTTCGATCCGTTTCCTCTCAAGCTAGCAAGCTGTTAGCTGATCACGCGGACCGGCAAGAGGGTTTGTCGTGAGGCAACAGTGTCGCTCTTGACGTAAAATGAGCGCAAATGGGAAAAGATGAGAATGTAGATAAGGAATGAGAGTCTCGAATCGAGACCGTGGGATATACAGGCGTGGTAGTAGCAATGAGGCTTTTTGCAGAGACGGCGAACTTTTGTTGTGGTGTAGGAGGAACAAAGGCGAGAGACAGTTGTTGGCCTATTTGCGCGTCGTCGCCTGGTCAGGCGACCTTGGCCATTGCAATCTTACTTGCAGTGGGAAATGAGGGGCACCGAGTGAGAGGCGATAGAAGACGTAGTGAAGTAGACTTACAACTTGCAGCTTGTGGTACGTCTGTTGGCATTGGTCGTTAGCCCAAACTCTTGTTCACCGCGAATACACATATATGCAGCTGACAGAAAGCAACTTCAGCAAGCAGCAGAGCTGAATGATTCCGTTTCACGTCTCTCCGACATGGTTGCGACAGCTGCTGAGTACCGATGTGCATAGCGCCGCGGAGCGCCAACACTTGACGTCCGCCTCTTACTTGTACGAGAGTGCCCACATACCGCTGTAGTAAATTCGGTCGGCTCTGCCGCCTGTCTGCGTTGCTGCCCGATTGGCGACAGTGGTGTACTCATGGTGGGAATGTTGTTGGTCGTGAAGCGGCGCTGCAGGGTCGCGCGGCCGTCGCCGTTCTGGTTCTGAGCGGCGCGATTCAGGGAAAGGAACGACGACTCTTCGCGAGGAGATCTGAGGCCGTTGCCTCCTCCCATGCCTTGGTAGGCCATACTGACTAGAACACTAGAAATACACTGCCAGTTCGGTCAGCGCGACTCGGCAGGAAGCTGGTGTGGGGGATTGGCGGGCGGTGTGGTTTCACCTGAGAGCGGCAGCCACTTGTCGCAGCACACGCAAAGCGCAGTTACATACAGATAATTCGTACACAGGGCAAAGGCCCTTACTACCCTCGCTGCTCGCTGTTCTTGATCTTACAGGGTTGGGACGGAATCGTTGTTGGAGGCTCGGTACGTAGGCAGGAACGGAAGTCGCTATGAAGCGGGTCGCAGCAACGCGCACTTGACGGCCTATGCACAGCACGAGTCGTGGGTAAGGACAGTCTGAGAAAGCCTGGATGTGCTGGCCAACGGTTCAAACTTCAGGCACCGAAAGAGCAAGTCTACAGATGGAGCGGGAGTGGAGCGTTGAACTCAAGAGCTCAGGGTCCATCACTGATCAGGGGACGATGTGGCGCTCAACTAGTGCTGGGTGGGATTCCGCACATATTGCGCATCTGCTTGTCGCGTACTGTGCCCAATTGAGGTTTTGGACCCTCCTGTTCTCCCGCAAGTCTTCTACTGTACATGCACACCTACTCTACAAAAGCACCTAGCACCAAGGGCGGACCTCATCTTGAGGATTGGGAATGCCTTGTAGTCATTGCCTCGGAACCAACAGCTAATCGTACATCGCATCCCGCCTTCTGCGCGTCGTCCCAGCCTTTCACACACCTCTGCGCAGCTGTCACAGTCTTCCGTTATTTAATCCGACCCACTCTAGCTCGATATGCGCGGCAAACGTGGTTCTGAATGCTTCTCTACAGCGTGTTCCAGGCCCCTGGAGTGGGATGGAGATGCCGGCGGGCGGTGCGCAATACCCTCACGTCATCCGGCAGCTTTTCGCCCAGAAAGTCGCTGAACCAGTCAAGGTTGCAGCACCGAGTAGTACCGCAATACAGTACAAGGAGGGGCAGTGTAGCTTCCACGGCCGAAGGACTGGCGGGGCATAGATCATCTCAAACACCGACGCATGCCGCTACGCATGCCGCGCCAGCATGGTAGACATGTCGTGCAGAAGCATGAATTGGACATTACCATAACAAAGCTGTTATCTGTCGCCTGGAGATACTAATGTGCTTGATGGTCAGGCGGTACTAGCCAGCGCTTGCTCAGTCGTTTGATCCATCATGGTCGCCATGTATGCTTCTCTTTACGACAATGACGATCCTCTCGAATGAGGCGCCTCGTTTTCCAACGCAGCCAATGCGGTTAGGTAGGTCCTGACCGCTCTCGTTTCAGAATCGAGAACCAGGCATTTCCCCGCACGCGCCTTGCATCTGCCAATCAGTAAGGGATGCAGGGTGGACTCCGTGGGACCGGCTAAAGCGGTGCGCCTGTATGCAACCATCGGCGGAAACAAAGTAACATATGCGAAGATATCTATCGCGAGTGATTTCGGATGGCAAGCCTTCGTTGCGATGTCTTGATAGAGTTGCTCGTGGCAGGAAGCCGCAACACGTGCGCTGCTTGGCTTGAATACCAACCAATCAGATCTTAGTTCAGGCAATGCGGACCTCTGCACCCGAGAAGCAATGCACCCGACAGCTGCGCCTTCTATTCTCATTTGCCACGCCCCGATGTATTCTTGCAGAACAGCTTCAGAAAAATGACGCAGGGTGCCAGTAACAGCACAATGGCCATGTGCATTGTCACCAAGGTGGTTGCATTCTTCGGAAAGTCCTCAAAATTCTGGGGAATGAGCAGGACGTTATCGCGTGGCACGTCACGGTCTCCATTGATTAGCGTGTAATCCGGGGTTGACTTCGATATATCGGGGCATATACCAACGCTCTGAGATGCATGCCCACGTTGAAGTATATAGTCTTCACTGTCCGATTTGAGACTGATGAAGACTCCGCTTTCGACGCACTAGAAAGTGATGCTCGTATAGTAAACGTAGGCATTCGACACTGAGAAGCCGAGGCTTCGACATCGTCGGCGCGAGTCCCCTCAATTAGACTCTATTGGCGTCGCTCAGTCCCCTCTTTTGATGCAAACGGACCCGCAACGCCCTATATACACTAAGGAAAGTTACACAAGTGACGTTCTTCTTGAAATGCTCAGAGCCCGCACTCTGGTTTCATTTGCGCACCTCAGATGTGAACTTAGATATGTCGAAAATATTGCAAAATCTTCTCAGTCTCATTACGACTTCTGCCGGTCATATTGCACTCAACCCTCTAGTGACGGCAACCCTACTATGGGCGTTAACAAAAGGGCCTACACAACTTCGTAGCCAACTCACAACTCGAATCCCTGCTCTTCGAGACCCTCACAGATATGCACGGATTCTGAAGGCCTTGAAGTGGTGTCTGATAGCTGGGACGGCATCAGTTGTTAACAAGCAGCTCAACCACATTGCCCTAAATGCAGGCAGGTTGCGAAGTGAGAAGGCAAAGTGGAACTGGAGCCGGGAGGTGGCAGTCGTCACAGGAGGATGTAGCGGAATCGGGGAGCTGGTGGTCAAGAGATTGATCAGTAAAGGGATAAGGGTAGCAGTGCTGGATATTCAGCAATTGCCTTCCGGGTTGCAGGGCTGTAAGACTGACCATCACTCACTGTGGTAGCTATTGCCTGGTACTGACGCGCCTGATAGATGCCGGTCTGAAGTTCTTCAAATGCGATGTTACCGACCCATCCGAAGTCTATTCCATCGCCGAAAAGATCAAGGAAACGATGGGTTCACCGACTATTCTCATCAACAATGCCGGTATCCTAGCTTCTCACACCATTCTTACCACATCCGACGTGTATCTTCGGAAGATCTTCGATGTAAATGTGCTCAGCAACTGGTATACCACCAAAGCGTTCCTGCCAGATATGCTTCGTCACAACAAGGGCCATGTCGTGACAGTCGCAAGTACTGCAAGCTTCGTTGGTGTCGCTGGTCTGGCGGATTACTGTGCGACGAAGGCGGCCATTCTCAGCTTCCATGAAGGTACGATGTTTGCTTTTACTCTTTGATGCAGCATGCTGATTCATGATAGCGCTCAACCAGGAACTCAAGCTCCACTACAACAGCCCAAACGTACTGACAACATCCATACATCCCAATTGGGCTCGCACGCCTCTTCTCGCACCCGTAGAACAGGAGCTCAAGAAGCAGGGATCTGCAATTATTGAGCCGACTGCCGTCGCGGATGCGATTGTTGGAAGGATCATGGGCTGCAGCGGCGGACAGGTCTTCCTGCCTAGCAGTATAAACAAAATCAGTTTGTTGAGAGGATTGCCGAATTGGGTACAAGAGAATGTTCGAAGTGGTCCGAGCAAAGCGATCTACAACACTGTCAAATAGGCGCAATTGATCTCGTATGTAGCAGTTCCGTAGTCGTGTTGTAATGTGCTACCACCCATCTCGCAATCCATGCAACCACCCCGGGGGAAAAGTGACTGGCTTCGGCGAGACTCATGCAGCGAGTCACTTTGTGTGGTAGCACGACCATGACTTGCCGGCACCAACTTACCCATTGCAGTAGGTTTCGGGGAAAAGTGTTGAAAACGGCATGCAACGTGCCGTGTACGCATGAGGTGTGTGTGGGCTCTGCCGTTCTTCTGCCGTGCTTCGGTACCATTCACGTCGCTAGCGCCTCCGTCGCGTCGAAGCCGCCGAAGAACGCGTCGCGTCTCCCCCCTCCGATTGCTCTGCAACGACATACAACACATTACGCCTACGATCAAACCACCAAAGCTATACGTCAAGAAGGATGGCAGAACCACAGGAAGACGTTCAGATGGACACCCAAGAAATTGAGCTGGAAACACCGCCCTCAGATGTCTTCATGGCACCTTCAATATCCAAGCCAGGCATTCTCGGCGGAAAGTCGTATTCGCACTTCTCACCAATACCGAAACGAATAGCAGACGACATGTCCGCAGAAGTCGTGCTAGGTGTTGATGAAGCTGGACGAGGTCCTGTCTTGGGTACTTGACTGCCTTATGAGAGCCCTTCTAGTCACTAACATGTTCAGGACCCATGGTGTACGGACTCTTCTATCTACCCATCGAACTGCATCACTCTCTCCTCGCCGAAACGCACCACTTCGATGACTCCAAGGTCCTGACTCCTGAAGTCCGCACAGATTTAATGCGCAAGCTCTGCACCAAGGGCTCAGATCTCTACGAGGCCGGCGGATGGGCAACACGCGTCATGTCAGCTCAAGACATCTCAGCGCACATGTTATCCCCCAACGTATACAATCTCAACGCCCAAGCAATGGATGCCACCATAGACCTGATCAAGGAGGTGCTGGCTCAAGGAGTGAATGTCAAGGAGATCTACATCGACACCATTGGCAAACCAGAAATTTACCAGAAGAAGCTAGAGAGGATATGGCCTACAATACGGATTACAGTCGCGAAGAAGGCCGATAGTCTATACCCTTGTGTCAGTGCGGCATCAGTGTGTGCCAAGGTTACCCGGGACGCCGCCCTGGACGTCTGCTACGAACCCTACCAGAATCGCGCTACCGAGGCGAACGAAGATGCTGAAGTCAAGGTGGCTTGGGGCTCCGGATACCCGTCGGACCCAAGGACACAGACCTGGCTGAAGCAGAACATGGACCCTCTTTTTGGCTGGGGTAGCGAGACTCGCTTTTCGTGGGGAACCGCCAAAGAGCTTCTAGAAGGGAAGAAACCCGACGTCGCTATCGAATGGCCTACGGAAGACGATGGCAACGACATGCGCATGACAGACTTCTTTAGTGGTAAGAATGAAGGTGGTGGAGACGAACTGGTTGACTGGTTCGGAAAGCGTGTTACCCAGGAGATGGATGTGTTCTGATCGCGTGCGGATACCGTACGAAATCGACAGCACCAGCTCAACCACAATCCGCACGTTGGATATTCTGAACGCAATCAGTGATGAAATTGGCACCGCGCAAACTGCCTATAACTTGATTCGGAAATCAAACTATGCAGGGCAGAGTATTCGGGCGCACTGATCGGTCCGTCCTGCACCGGGCGCCAACATTAGACGCAGGGTCTGCCAACTGCCCGATCACAAACAAGCAAAATCACGCGCAGACTATAGGTTTGGCACGGATGTCGTAATCGCACGCAGGGAGAATCCATCGAGGCAATTCAAGCGAGCATAGAAACATCGGTATTTGGTCCACAGAGCAAGAAGCGGTGAAAGGATATCCAAGCCATCTCAGCTGCCATGCTGCCTTTCGCATCTACTAGTCTTTGTTCTTTAGGCCCCAAGCTTGCAGTGTGCGCATGTTGGCGTCTACTGTGCCAACGGTCGTCCATGCAGGGCACCAACCATCTTCGATAATGCCCGCGCTTCACAACAACCGTGCGACCAGCCACGTTGACATATACAATAAATTAGGTCAATGTATCCGAGTCATCCTCTCTTGACCTTACAAGTAGCTGTCAATCCAATATACATGCTTGACTTCCGTTGTAAGAAGATCATAAGATCATCTACCTACACCACTCAACGCTTTGTCTACTCAAACTTCCCAGACCCAGCCTGGTTACACGATAACAAAACTTGAACTTGCCAAAATGTGCGCTGATGCCCTCGTTTGTCGAAACTCATCCAGAGATTACAGCAACCCCAGGCCGTTTGCACGAAGAGGCGGAATAGCCAAGCGCGGAGAAGGCAGTCTATCCACAACACCTAGCTATTATGAGAAAGAACTCAGGGCCTTTTACTACCAAACCAAGGCATCGCATGCAGCCAACATAGAAACCGACACCGACGCATACCCTCCCTCACCGCCACTATCGCCGAAGACCACAGTAACGCCGCTCAGGGTGCGAAGAACACAACGTGTTGAACGCAAACGCGACCATCCCTACCAACAACCTCCATCGAACCGCAGGCCGAGCTGGCGCCCGAATCTCAAGCAAGAGCTTTTACGCCGTAGCTCGATCGACTCTATCGTAGACCCTTTCAACGACGTAGGATGGTTTGAGACAGACTGTCAAGTGTCGGCAACACGAAAGAGATGCAGCACTGTTTCATTATCAGATCATGGCGATGTCGAAATGCCGAAGCCGCGACGGCAATCAACACTGCTACATCCATCATCGCCGGATATTGAGTCCTCCGGCGGTGTTGATTCTTTCGATGCTCCTTCGACCTCCAACGGTATGCACGAACAGAACCAGTCAACCAATCTTTCGACCCACCGATCAGTTATGGCTTCGAGGAAAGGCTCGTCATTGTTGCATCCATCCAGTCCTGCCAGCGACATTCCTTTGGGTGTTGAGCTAAAGACTGTCATGTCTTTACCCCAAAGTCCCTACGGGGAGAAGACCGCGCACATTGAGGTTCACGCTCACCAAAAAACTTTGCTTTTGGAGCCAGACATTACTGTTCTTCTTGTTGTCTCGGTTCTGTCATTCAGGTGTTATTCAAGGCGGCGGTGGTTGTAGAAAGCATTCATGGCTGCTAGTGTTAGACTAGCGTTCTTTTGGCTTGGTGTCCGCTTTCAACATCTGAGTGGGCTGCGGATCCGTGTGGGTCTTGCTTTTGCACCCACCGAGACATAAAGGCGTAAACACAACCGCTGGACTTCACCAATGCGGAGAGCCGGCGGAAGCCACCAGGACTTTCGGATTGCCCGGACATTCGCGACATTGAATGCGTGTAGGGAAGCATCCTCCGACTATAAAAAATACGACGTACATTATAGGCAGCTTTTTCTCATCACTATAGCATGCTTGGTAGCAACTGTTTCCAGGGTCGCAGCTGGTCAAGTCAACGTTGAATTTCAACAACATCGTCCCATTTCCCAACGATAGCAAGATCCCCAACAACCACACAATGGCAGCACCAGGCGCAGATCTTCTTTCGCGCAGCGACTTTCTCAGCGAAGACTTTGTTCTTGCCAACTGCGGCATTTGTGTGAAACCGTTCGACGTAGATCATCAACCGTTCGACAGAAACTGTCATCATATATACATGAGGCCCGCAAACTGTCATCACAAATTTGGGACTGATTGCTTTTGAAGACTGGCCAGGGATTGCGATCTAGAACAGGGACTACCCAAATGCCTTCTTGGCAAACAGTGGCCCTTCTTCAAACTCGACAAATCTGAATTCTTCGAGGGCGCGCGACAGGTACCCCTCGCCAACGAGGACTTTCAGTTGGATCAGCATCCCGACGCCTGGATCGAGGCGAAAACCTTTATCAAGCTCATTCGAAAGGCATTGTACGGTCTCTACAAACGAGAACAGACTACCTACGATTCTGATATCGAGCAAGGCGTTAACTTTGGCTGGATTCCAATGGCCCAGTACCACGCTTTGGTCCCCCATGTGTTTAGCGAATACTGCTTGGTGTTAGAAAGCTGGCACTGGAGATATTGAAGGTGCATTATGAAAATGGCTGTTATTTTCCACTCAAAAAGATGAAGGTTGGAGGATACACGTACAGCTTGAGGGAAGTGTTGGTGTGGAAGTTGAAATATTGCGAAGAAAACGAGGTACTTCCACCGCATTGGGTAGAATTCAAATTCACTCGAAATCAACATGGCACTTTCACCACTGATAACACCACTTTAACAAGGACTACCCTCTTATCTAGGCACGTTATCACGAGGTTAGTCCACTCACCAACCTGCTTCTTCACTCTCCTAGCTGTATATATGTCTGAGCACTTTCTCAAAAAAAGTACAACCAACTCTTTTCTCTGTTCTATATTTCTGAAGACGAGTCAACTTTCTCTTCCGAATCCCTCCTTACACCAAAGACAAGAAACATGGATGCGCCATTGAAGGACCGCAAATCTTTCCTCGATGAATGCATCGAGAGTAATGTGGATTGCGATCTCTGCGGAGGTTTTCTTTCACGTAGGAGCCAACGAATCCTTCTTCACGCTTCTTGATTACTGACATACTTGTCTTAGCAGTACTTCTCCGCATTAGAAGCGAATCTCATCCCTGCCACGGAGTATATTGTGGTAGTTGTCTCATCAATCACCTCAAACATCACAACACCTGTCCGGTTCATCCTGATGTAGTCCTCTTTTACTTCGGTCGTGAGCCGGAGTTTATGCCTGGTCAACGCGAGACCGCCAATACGCTCGATCGGATCACATCTGACGTCGAGGCTTCTCAGTTCGTCATACAACTATGGTGTGCAACTAGGCAGCTGTACGGCTACGAGCACATCTTCGACTCCGACATTCAAGAGAAGATTAAAGATACGCTAAGTGTGATCTGCGAGGTCTTTGATCACAAATCTCCTTTGCTCATAAAGGACGAGCATATGCCTGGTGTCGTGTCCATCGCGAGAGAAATGATCGAAATGAATTTCAAGTGTCAAAATAACCCCAATGAGGAGTGTGTACTAGGACACTGGCTACCGAAGATGGACCAGGCTGTGGGATGGGCACGGCGGACCTGATTTGGCTCGGAGTAGTCTGCTGGTTACACGGTTGAGGTATCGTTCGTATCTCATCATGTCGATGGAGGAGGCAGAACATACGATGAAGCTACGAAGGCGGACTCTCAGGCCTCGACAGGAGACAGGCACCTCAACTGCTACTATCGTCTAGCGTTCATAATAGTCATCTTTTGATTACATTTTGATGAAAGTGCATTAATTCATCGCTGATACTACCTACAGGTCATGCTTACTGAATCCAAGCTCATATATGTATCCCAAGACGAGCTGGCCATGTTGAATTACGTGGTCGGGATCCATGTGTTCCATGGTGTCATTGGCAGTGTGGATGTAAGGGTTTCGGTACTCAAAAGCAGATTCGAAGACGAACGACGCGGGGAAGCCACTCCTCATCGCAGAGCCATGATCGGAACACGCGTATCCACATGTGCTGTTCACATATGTGATGTCGGTGTACTATATCAAAGTTAGATCTGCTGGCTTGTATCTTGATTTGCATGCACTCACCTCCTTGATGACGCGAGTGATGTACTCGTTAAGCGCCGGATCCGTGAAATCGGTGATAAGACCAAAGCTCTCTGGCTTTCCAGCGTTAATAGTACCCTTTGTGTATCCAACCATATCCTGCTGTAACATGGCCCAGATATCCCTGCCGGCAGCCGCGTATTGCGTGAAGATGTCTTGACTACCACGCAGTCCTCCCTCCTCCGCCGCGTACCAGTGGAACTCGATGGAGTTTTGCAGCTTGCTTGGGCCGAAGTCTTTGTCGCTTAGCAATACGCGGAGAGCTTCTAGGATAAGGAACGAGCCGCTACCGTCATCATCAACACCTGGCGCACGTCCATTCATTCGGTCTGCTGAGTTGATAGAGTCGAGATGAGCACCCACAACTACAGTCCTGTTGCTTCGTCCTTGGACACGCGCAACGACAGAGTTTTGCGGCCATCGTGCGTGTGGGAATGCTTCGGCAGTAACACCCTTCTTTCCAGACTTCAATACTACATCTTGAACCTGACCAAGAAGCCACTGCGCAGCCTCGGCGCCGGTTTCGGTTTCGAAAAAACGCGTGTGAAAGGTAGAGTAGTACTCTAAGTTCTTTTTGATGTTATCCCAACTGAGTTTCGGGAAAAGTCGCTTGACGTTTTCTTGGTATTTGAACTTTTTGGGGTAGGGTGGTCCTGCTCTGACTGCGAGAGGTGCGACATGGGAGTCACTGATGTCGAAGAAATGGCTTCCGCAGCCGCCGCTCTAGGAGAAAGTCAGATCAGGTGAATCCTAGCAAGGTGTATGTTACTGACAGCGGAAAGTTCCCATCTCTCTTCTTCTGTGATCTGGGTAGTCTCTCCAGGAGCGACTTCAATAGTAAATAGCGCCCTGGGCGCGACCTGCTCTGGCTTCGCAAACACAGCGGTCGCACATACTGCGGCAAGGAGAGCTGCAGACTTCATCTTCGTAATACTGAGGATATCAGATTGCTTAAGTAGTTGAAGCCAGTGTGGTGCTCAACTCGTGCTTATGAGGCCAAATATATAGGTGTCTTGCGTCAGCTTCGGGGTGCATTCTTCCATCACGTTCCGCTTGGTGCCTTGTCTAACCATGGGCGATATGTTTGTGTGTATTCAAAGGATGTACCAAGAGTGGAGCGAGCCAATATCATAGCCCACAAGCCAATCGGGCTGTACAACAGATCCGGGGTAGATGCTAAGCGCGTCTTGTCGCTGCAATGAGTCTTGTCTCTTTCCTATCCTGGGGTAGTGCATCGTGTCTTCTTGTCGCGAAGAGTATATTTGCATTCAGGTAGAAAGTAGTTTGCTTGCTGGTCCGGGCTGTCGGATCATTTAGCCAGACTTTGATGGAATCTGGACAATGAGGGGGTTACGAGAAGGAAGCGAGGGTAAGACGTTGCACCTGCATGCACGAGACGATGTCGCGCTAGAACCACGCTAATGCTTCCACTATGGATCACGACCTTGGTCGTGTTCCAACTACCCAATGGGCATTCCTCACCCATTGTAGATATTGTGGTTTGCTTGCTGGAGGTGTACCTCTAGCAATTCGTTAGAATTTCTATCCGTGGCTCGCCCCGGCTCGCTGCGAAGCCGACCAATCGCATAAAGCCTTTCGTAACAGCAAGCAAGCGAGGGCCTACTTTTCTTTCGCTTCTCGTTCGTAGACGGCAGCGCAGCTGCCTAATCGTGATCGTCTCATACTAAATGCTTCTACTTCGCCGTTATCTTTTCAACCTCCATCACAATAGCACAAGAGCTATCAAGATTTTAAAAGGCACCATGGAATATCCTTGAACTGATAAACATCTGCTTGGAACAGCTCGACGTGTTAAGAGAAAGATAAAACAGCACGATATCGCAACGAATTACAGACGATCCGAATCTTAATTGACATTGTCATCAAGACGTTACAAGTCTACACTGACGTCTTTATTGACTGTCCTCAGTGTGTTCATGAAGCCCACCCATTTTGTAGCGCCTTCCAAAATTTCACAACGTAAGCATAAAGGGATTGAGCACAATCAGTTTTTAGAAAGTAGCCCGTAGGGATAGCTGGTGTAATATGTTTACAGGTCAACGAAGCGTGTAAAGATGTAAAGTACAGCACTTTAACCAGCAAAGATGGAAACCAAAGCTAGAGCACGTCACAGCCTGCACACTTATCTTCTGGCGACAGGCCTGTAGCATTCGGATGTTAGAAGGGAGACCATATCAACGAGAACACAGTCAGGCATACTTCGCATTGTATCTCCTATGATTCAGACTCGCGGTCGAATTCGGCATCGCGGTTTTGCATTGCTGCACACGGTGTGGAAGTAAGTAATCCAAGCGCTGGAGGTAAAGGGCAAAGAACGCATACTCTGAAGCAGCGAGCGTCTGTACGTGCTTGCAAGCGAAGCTGTTTGCCAGCAGGCTATCGTAATGGACGTGATGTTCCCGGTTGGACTGGTCGATATGCATGCCCCACCACGGCAAACCTCACTAAGAAAAAGTCTGCCGCAACACTGCCCCACCAAGCGGCCTTCTGAATGTAATCTCAACCGTCCAGTCTGACAGAACCACGAAAGACTTGGGATATATTGTTTCCATTTTCTGGTCATTCCATCATTACTAAGCAACAACTGGCCTAATGGCCCAATGGCAAGGCGCTTGACTACGACTCAGTTCGATATCAAGAGATTCCAGGTTGTAAGTAGCACTCAATTGCCACCTGTTCGAATACAGTTTCTAACATCCTATCAGCGACCCCTGGTTAGGTCATCAGTTCTATCATGCTTAGCATCTTTCGCATCGGTGGTTTAGTGGTAAAATTAGCCGTTGCCATCCTTCACAGGACAGTTTCGGCTAGCCCCGGGTTCGATTCCCGGCCGATGCATTACCTGCTCTAGCTATTCTTTTTGCGGTTGTACTGATCTGGGGATGATATTGTTGTGGCGGAGATGGTGGATGGTGCGGCAGAGGAGAAAGAACCTCTTTTTGAGGTTTGACTAAGGACAAACATCGAACACTACTTTGAACGTCGCATCTGCGAGCGCTAAGATTATATCTTAGAAGCTACTGCATTCTCAAAGATTGCTGCGAAAAGTTAGTTGATATGTGTGTGTGTGGCCTTTTTCACTCTTCTGGCTAGATCTTGTTTCAATTTGCATATGCATCGGACGAAGACTGGTATATGTTTCTCGCCTTGCAGGACAAACGTAGTTTTCTTGCAGTTCTTTAGATGCACGTACTCACTCGAAGGTTGCGTTGACTGCCTTTAATGAAATACCGCAAAGAGAGGTCGCTTCTATCAGTTCAATGGCGTCAATGCTTAAGCTTGGGAATTGGCACAAACAGTCCTGAAGGTGTCCTGAGTGACAAATGCACAGACCTATTGCGCGGTATCCCTCCCGACTGTACCTATTGGAGGTGATGGGAAAGAACTTGAGTGCGGTCTGGATGTGTAATTGCTTACCCTCCTTCCGCAAACAATACTCATCGCTTATGAACCGTTGCAGCTCGGCTTGTCATTTTCTCGAATCACACGTGCGGGGAGCCCTCACTATCGAGAGGTCTGCTCCAGAGCTCCATCGCACAATATCCATGGGTTCTAGTGGAAGGGCAACTTATAACCCGGATCCAGATGCTAGCAGCGTCTTATGGTATGGCCTGTTCGTACAAAGAGCTGTATCGATCTTGCTTGCAGCGTCTTCAGCGACAATGGCTCGAAGATAGAAGTCGTACGCGTTGCGCCCCAAACTTGGGCAAGTCGTTTCATTGAAGAGTGCCGGCACACGTACGTCTCGGCTAGACACTGGAGATATGGCGATAGTAGCCGCAATTGCCGTAGTTGCCGTAGTATTGAAAGCAGGTCAGATGGTACGTGTTATACCCGATTGGTAACGAGCAACGGCGAAGGTCACCGCTCCTTCCAATTTCTCAACATCTCAGACCGACATGTACTCTCCTGTATTAATCCCGAATAGTGATGATGGGCAGCGGCAAAGAATACCGCTCTCTTCAATATCTCAACACGGCTCACCGACACGTTTTCCTTTGACCTCAGCCTTCACGACTTTGACCGGAAAAAGCGCGTGTTGCGCCGGCTCCGTATACATCGCGTCTATTCTCGCAGAATTTGCGCGACCAGAGTGTTTCTCCACGGTCGCACCACAGAATTCGTACCACATACAGATGTACCCTTTCCAGTGTATTCTGATGCGATGGTCGAGCGCCTGTGCGGTAGGGGGGAAGACTTGGTGCGTATCCTACATGGCCCCAACAACACCCCGGTTATATTTAGTCGTGGCAATCATCAGGCTTCCTCTGACGGTGTAGTTGATCAAACCTGATTCTGTAGTTCGCGGGACCGAAAGGAAATACTTGGGATGGATTCTGGCAGGCGCTGTGCTGTGCGTATACACCAGTGTAAGATGGTATGGCTCCAGAGCACTAAATGCCAGTTGTTGAACCGAGCTAGCGTGCCAAGACCGGCACAGCACGACTTCCGCGCCGCTAACGTCCTGATCATCTCCATGAATAGCTAAAGCGCGAGCCACAATTTCTCCACGCCACTGAAAGCGGAATCCTCGCTACCAACCTAAGCACATCCAAGACCTGCTCGACTCCACAGATCCGTTGCACTCCGACATACGCATGCTTTTTGAGAAACACGTTTCATCCCGTTGACGACCATCCGCCAGCTGTTGCGTGGGATGCATAGTCGAGACCTGGGTAATCACTGAGCCACGAGCCTGTCCTAACGACATCTGTGTCGTGATACGCCTCCTCGCGTGCCCTGGCACAGCCTCCGCATTTCAGCTCGTATCAGATCTTCCATCGATGGATTTGCGTTCCAACAGATCTCCTGCATCTCGCATATCGTTGTGGCGCTGGAATTCGCAAAACCCGTTCGTCAATCTGAAGATCACGAGCAAAAGCAATGGTGCGCTCGACCAGTTGTATGCAGGCGAGGATGCGCCATTCCCCACCCATCCACACGAACCCATAACACAAATCCATCCCTGAAGGACATTAGACTTTGAGACTTCCTTTTCTCTGTTTGTTCTTTCTGAGCTGTACAGCAGTCCTGAATTACTACTGCTCGAAACTCAAGCCACAATCTTTACTAAGACAATTTTGGCTGCATGATGTGGAGAGGGAGCAAATCATCTGCCTTGTCCGGATAGCTTTATCGTCTCATCGTGACGACATCGCATCTACAGAGCATCTCTCCGTTATCAGATACACATGGTACGAATAAGGGAGTAGGTATACCGACGCGCTGGAAAAGACCCTCACCGTCTTGACCCTGAGAGACCTTCATGAGCCCTGAAATGTCCCTGATACAGAAGATCAGCCTTGAGAAAAGCAGTCGCGCACCGAAGGACTCCGGAAGGGTACCTGAGAATCAGTACCAGGTGCTGATAGCTTCACTAGAGCAACCGTGCTGTACCATGGAAGACACTGGACCCCTGCAAAGAAAGGACTAGTTCAACGGCAAAACAAAATCATCCCCGCTCGTGTACCTTGCAGGCTATGACAACTCGACGATTGGCTCCCCACTACGCCTATGCAGCATTGCTATCTCTATAGCGACGTCGGCGAGGAGCCGTGAACCATGCGCCTGTGTCTGCGGTGCTACCCCGGGCTGAAACGCCATGCTCAATTCGTCGTACAAGACGCTCTCCTCTAAACATCCTGGTCTCCTCCATTTCCTCTCGACCACGCTCTTTTATTCCTGCCCATACGTTCGTTTCACCCGTGTACTTCTCATCAGACATTCACCCGTTTCAAGCAACTCCCCACGGCCTGGTCGACAACTCTGCATGAATTCGCGGAGGACACAGGACACCGGACAGCATTATCGTCACCTCACACAATGGATGTCAATGCCAGCGCGGTCTCACCCTCCGGAACTCCTCTGCCCTGGCAAGTCCCCGACAGGGGGCCGCTCCATC